TTGAGACTTGCTAACATTAGAGAAGATATGAGGATAGTTGGGAGGCCCTGAGCAAGGTTTTTGGTACTCTGAAAGATGCCAAAGTTCTTCCCTGAGCTTGTTGTTCCATGCCAAGTAAAGCGGCCTAGTATCTATAACAAGATGGATAGTTCAGCAAAATCTCAAAATCTCAAAATCTCAAAGCCATTTATGTACTAGCTTCATTGATGCTTTTCCTCAAGACTTGAGCTGCATGCCGAGCTAGTAGGTTGTGTGACTCAACAGCGTCCAGCAAGACAAGCCCAGCTTCAATAGCCTCGAGGTACTCCCGGTTATCCTTGGAGCTGGTGCTTTGGCATTCCCGCAACAGAAACATGGCAGAAGAGTAAATATGATACGACAGCGCCCTTGGAAATTCAGTATGCTACAAATAAACGTATGGGCGGGGTTGTCTTACCACTGCTTTCTGGTTGATGCCGGCTGATCCCAGCTTCGGTTAATCCAGATGAGGCTCATGGCAGAAGTGATGCTGACTGTTCGTGCCCAATGATATTCCTCGGGAGATGATAGCCACTGATTTTGAAGCACGCGGTTAATATGCATTCGGAGGTGCAACAACACGAGAGTCAGGTCGTAGCGCTGCCATTTGATCCAAGGCTGAGTGGCCTCAAGGGCTTGTATCTCTGCGTTAGTGGCTGCGTCACTCTCGGGTTGCAGGTGGCTAGGCAGGGTGTCAATGATGCTTGCCAACCCCTCATCTGCAGCCTTGACGATGTTGACAACATTATTTAGTGACTTTGAACCGTACTTCAGTGATACGCGAAATGTATATATGACTTGAGATGTCTGGGCCATGAAGATGTGATAGTGGACAGGGTCTACAAGACCTCCTTGTGGCTCAGGCTGAGAAATCGATGGTAGGGGGATGTCAAAGTCAGATTCGTCTATGACTGGAGACTGATATGTCAAGTTCAACCTGATTGCGAAGCAGGCAATTAGCAGTTGGCCCAAATTGATGGCATGCAGCCTTACCACTCGCATATTATTAGCGTCCACCATAGACGACGCTCTGCTTCAATCCCGAGGTGCTGAACTTCTCTTTCGTTGTTGTCTTGACCAAGACGTAGAGTTTGGGCAATCCGAATCGCAGAAACTCGCAAGTGGTGCCCCATCTCCGAATCTCCACGGTTATTGAAGGTCATGCACAGAACAGCTATTGCTTGCACATTGTGTACATTGGCAACTCGCAAGAAGTCTGCTTGTTGTAGACAGAATATAGCAGCTTCGTACCAATTCCGCGACACCTGCTCCACGGAGAGGTCATTTGATAGCTGCAAACTTTGGGCCTCATTGTCTTCCATCATCAAAAGCGCTGTCTACAGCGCCAGTCAGTTTTGTTCCTGGTACCTGACAGATATATCTTGACTTACACTGAGGACACTGAAGTAGAGAGCGAGCCATGGAAGGTCAGCCTTATCGAGTGCCAATCCATTCTCTAAACTGCTAACAAAATTGTCACATTCGTCCTTGAACTGTGGATACTCCAAGGCATAATGTACCCAAGAGTTCCACGTCCTATCAAACTCTACGAGTTTGTTGCTGGAATCCGCATCGGGCAGTATGATATCCGCCCAGTTCAATACAGGTGACCTGTCGATGTTGGATTCCGAGGCAAGGCTTTCCCATAAGCCATCATCAAGCTCACCTGGGGCGTACTGTATCTCATCCAGCGAGTTTTCGAATCGCTGAGCCTGTGCATGGTCAATGATTGGTTGGCGATCTTGCCGCGGTTTGAGGGTCACAATCTCTCGCCGTAGACGGTCGTTTTCTTCCTTGAGCTCTTGGTATGTAGGAGATTCGGGACCGTCTTGCCATCTATTATCTCATCAGCTTCAATGACACAAACAAGATTAGCATGGTTCACAAACGTGGTTACCTGGCCGCGAACAAGGACCATTTCCCTGACACATGATTCAGCCTGGCCACGCTTGATGCATCGTGAGCACGGAACCGATTTATCGCATTTTACTTTACGAGATGAGCACGACAGGCAACTCCGCGGGGCTCGCTGCGTGGAACGAAGGGCAACTACAGCGCTTGAACGATGCTCCATCCTGACTCCGTCAAGGGTATCACAAAGGTTAGACGGTGAGGAATAAGAGGGGACCTGATCGCAAACTCAACCGAGCTGGCCCGATAATCACCTGCGCTGTGATTGGATGGACATACGCGGAGGTGACGCTTATCGCAGCTGCCCCACGGTATTTGAACTTCCCGATGTAAGCATATCAACATCAACATCAACCTACATTCTCTCCTCTCCCTTTGCTGCATGACTAACGTGCCATTTCAGTTCTTCAAGATGCCTTCTGTCGTGGTGTTCCGTGGCGCAGCCATTCACTCGATCGACCTCCAAGCACTGGAATTTGTCGACGATGCAACACTCGTCATCAGCGACGGCCTTATCACGGGATTTTGGAAGAAACCTGCCGATGTCCCCAACGATGCATTTCCCCCTGGTGCCAAAATCCACACTCTTCCTCACGGTGAATTCCTCATCCCCGGATTTGTTGACACTCATAACCACGCTCCCCAATGGCCGATGCGGGGTCTTGGCCAAGGTCTTCATATTCTCGATTGGCTCGACCAAGTGACCTTTCCCTTTGAAGCGCGCTTCTCTGATCCAGAGTATGCGAAAAAGATGTATGAACATACCGTTCAGGACTTTCTGCGACAGGGCATCACGACTGCTTCATACTATGGCTCCCGTCATGCTGAAGCGACACGCATTCTAGCAGACATATGCCACGCGAAAGGCCAACGCGCGTTTGTTGGAAAATGTAACATGGACAGAAACGCACCAGATTATCTTCGTGAGCAAGGAGCAGAGGACTCTCTTCGCGAGACCAAGGAGTGCATTGCTCATATTCGTGCCCTAAGATCCGCCGGAGAGGGTCAAGAGGGGTTGGTGAAGCCGGTTGTTACACCAAGATTCGCAATCTGCTGCACTGACGAGCTTCTTCGTGGCCTTGGAGACATGGTACAGGCAGACGATTCTCTGGCCATGCAAACACATTTCAACGAAGCTCAGCAAGAGATCGACTTCACCAAAGAGCTGTTCCCTCAGTTCAAAAGGAGCGAGGCTGATTTGTATGAAAGCTATGGTCTCCTCAACAAGCGCAGCATCCTTGCGCACTGCACCATCATGACCGACTACGAAAAGGAACGTCTTGAGGTGCTGAAGTGTGGTATAGCTCACTGTCCCATTGCCAACATGACCGTCGGCGGTGGTTTCATGGTAGCGCCTATCCGCGATTTCCTCCGTCGCGGGATTAAATGCGGTCTTGGTACCGATAGTGGAGGCGGCTGGGCATCTCAGATGCTATCGGTCATCAGACAAGCGATGATAGCTTCAAATGCCCGAGAGGTTATGTCCAAAGGCGATGACAAGGCTCTCTCACTTGAGGAAGTGTTCTACCTGGCGACAATGGGGGGCGCCAACGTGTTATGTCTCGAAGACAAGATCGGGAACTTTGAAGTTGGTAAAGAATTTGATGCCATTTGGGTAGCTACAACAACAGGACTGCAGTCCGCTATGACTCCTAGAGAGGAAGAAGACTCACTGAGGGGGTTATTCGAGAAGTATATCATGACGGGCGATGATAGGAATGTGGCACAAGTTTTTGTCAAGGGTCATAGAGTTGCAGGGAGCCGACAGTATGACTAGCTTGAACAGGCTCTAGAGTCTTCCTCGGGCTAACAAGGAGCTTGTGGGCATATAGCAGTCTGGCGATCAACAACTCATGCTGGCTTACATCGGCTGCGCTTCAACAAGTCACCACTTTCGCTTCTTCTTCTTCTTTAAGAATGCCTACAGTTTGATGTTTGTCGCTAAGCACTAAGCAAGCCAGATGTGTTTGCAGTCAAAAGATGTATTATAATAAAGCTCGACTATCGCAGACCTAAGCGTCTCTTCCTCTCACGTTCCGCATCCATACATGGTCGGCAAGGCCGACTCGAATGTTTGTCCTCCCACCCCAATGATATGTTGCACTGTTCTGTTCCTTTGTAAAGGCAAGGAATTTCTCCATGGTGCCACGACATGAGGTGACTACAGGTTCCCCAATGTCATACCATCATAGTTTTGCACATCTTGGTTCGGATCGAATGGTGACAAATTTGATAGTTGTTTACTTTGTGATGAGGTCTATGTGTGTGGAATCCTTTCTCGTGATGTTGGAAATGTTGAGAGGACAGGTCTGAGGAGACCTTTTTATACGTAGAGTGGCTTTCTGAATGGAGGTATGTCACAGTTGTATGTCAGTCACAGCTCTGGCTATGAATCACATAGACAAGTAGTTTAAATTCAAGGTGTTCTTATCAGGTCCATTGCATGATGATTTATGATAAATTTACCTCCAGGCTATAGGCGTGTGGCCTTCTTTCTCTCCTCTTCCTCTGCCAGCTTTTTAGCTTCATCACGAGGAAAACAGTCTGTTTCTATCGATCTGCTTGGGTTCAGTTCGAGGCCAGCACAACTTCCACTGTCCTTGTTACCACAGTCTAAATTCTGGACCTCATGAGTGATTTCATGACCGCATTTGCCAATGACATGTGTGATGATGGTGATGCACATGTTGATGCTGTTTGCGATTGTAGCAATCAATTGATTGTGTAACTACTCGCGTCAAGTCAATGTATTAGGACTTCGGTTTTGTTTATAGCTAGACAGACAACCACGTCGAGGCATACTAATTTATAGTTATAGTAGGTCACCAAATCATATAGAAAATAGAGAGTGGTGAGCTCACACAAAACAATCATTGGTGATAACGACGTACTGCAGGATGGATCTTGCTTCGCCTATCACCGAATCAAGCGCTCACTAAACCATATCAGGTTGGCCGTTTCCAAGCTTGGTTGAGTTCACTCGGGTCATCATCCATCCCCGCTTCGTGACAGATGTTTCATCCCTGTTTCTTCATCAGCAAAATCTCTTTATCACGACAAGTACAGCAAATATGGAAGGGCAGTGGAGGCTAGATCGGCTACCGCCAGAGATCTTCTCGATGATCTTGCGCAAGCTCAAGCCACGTCAAATAAAGCCTCTCATGCAGACCAGCAAGACCATTAACGCAATGGCCAAGTCAATGTTTTACAGGAGAATGATATTCTCCAGAGATAGACATTTTAGACGGTTTCTGAGAGTCGCCAAAGGAGATCCTAGAATTCTTAACATGATCCATCACTTGGACGTCAAAAACGTTGATGCTCGATATTTCTGGCTGCTCCTCTGCCTTAACCTTCGAAACATCGAGAGCGCCACTTTGAGTAATGGAGAGACGATGATCTTTGGAGCCCGTGACGGACTCGCTGATTTCCAAAACATGGCCTCGCTTTTGACCGGACGTATAACCCCTAAGCCTAGACTGAAGACTGGTAAGTTTGTACTCATAAGTACAAAAATGATAGGGGGCTAACGGTGCACACAGTATCTTATGATATCCGGAGCCCAGACCCGCGTGTTTTGTCTCTGGATGAGATCAAACTATTCCGCTACCCCAGCCTTACGTCCTTGCGCCTCCATAACGTTAGACTAGATCTTTATGCCCCTGATCTAGTTCAGCCTCTTCCATTTGAGAATCTAGAGTCCCTCCATCTAGAAATTTACAATTATACTGACAAGATTCTGGAAAGACTCTTGCGAAATGCAAAGAAACTCAAGCGCTTCGAGTTTCACCACCCTATGAATGAATCAGACCGAAATATCCCGAACTTCCCACGACTTCTAAGAACATGCCGAGAGACTATCAAGGTCATAGAACTCTACTGGGACTGTCGCCGCCCGGCCTTCGAGGACAAGCCCATGAAATTCGCCAACTTCACATCTCTTCAATATATCGCCGCCCCACCAAGAGTTCTGTTTGGAGCTTACCCCTACGAACGCGATATTGAGTGGTTGCCCAAGCTCAGGGAGCACCTACCGCCAAGCTTGAAGGTGATGTTCTTGCAAGACATTGAAATCTATGAAAAGACCCCGCTATTGCCCTCAGGCCAACAACTTACCGATGACTACGTCCCATGGTGGTATTTGATGCCTGCCGATTATGACATGGTTAAAACTCTGCTCGATTATGAGGCATTGTTTCCAGCGCTTTCTATTATTGCGTGGACGTCACCAGTAGGCACAGAACCGCCGTGGCAACTCGATGAGCCTGCCGTCAAAATCGGTATCGAACTTAAGTGCGCGAAAACCAGGATACAGTTGGAACCAGACGAAGAGTGGCTTGATGAGCTGGAAAGAAACCCAGCGACGGTGTACTCAGATACTGCTTCAGAGTTTTCAGAGACTGGTTCAGAGGAGGCTACAGTGGATAAGTCCTGAAGGCAAGGTGATGATCCCGCCCATTGCTATGACTTCCATCATGCTCAGTACATATGTTTCATGTCAAGCTAGTTGCAGTATGCATATATTAATATGCCAATATCGTTACAGCTTCTATTTTCATTACTTGGTATCAACATTAAAGTCTTATCTATGAGCATATATGCTTCTTTGTATCGTTCTCGTATAATCCTTTTCCGCACTGCGTAACGAAGGATTGGAGCTTGCTGCTGTATCTGGGTATCTTGGGTCTCTCTCCGCCGAGTCATCAACCTCGACGACCACCGATGTCACGGTATCCATCTGGATAGCCGGCCCTCTCAGAGATTCTTGGCTGATGGTGCGTGTCATTCCCTTTCGACTTCTGTTCTCCGACCCGCTCACCCTAGCAGGCCATGACCACCATCCTCCAGCGACGTTCTCGTCTGCTTGTTGGCCACCCTGGATCGAGATCGTGTTTCCGAACCGGCGACTAGGTGTCTTGAGGAAGGCAAAGGTGCTAAGGCCAACATCGTCGGAAGAGACGTCGTACTTTGAGGCGAAGACGATGGTGTTTCGGGTCGTGCCAAATAGCAGGCAATCGAAGGAACCGTTGGATGCAATCATGGCACCAGCAAAGCAGAAGTAGCCGTTGGGTACACTCGCACCAGCCATCGTCGCGATACGGCCGGCCGCAAGAGGAAGGGTACACATGACATAGATGACGGGGTAGATCAAGAAGGCAGGGTTGCGGCTGAGTTGGAGTTGCATGGTATCAGCCTGGCTTGGTGATCCCGATGACTCAAAGCGGGCTTGACGACGGAGGTGGAAGAATATGATGAGGTACAGGATAGATGTTGTACCAAGGCCGAGGAAGATGTAGAGGTAATGTGTGAAGAGTCGAAGGTTCTCGTACTTTCGGTTCATCCAGCACTGCACAATGTTAGAGTATTACCAGTCAATGGTGTATGTTGGACTTACCCAGCTTCCAGCGCGGACAAAGAACCCACCAAACTCGGCACCATTGCGAGTCGCGGCAATTGGAATGAGGGAGATGGCGTAGACGAAGATCCAGATAGCGATAATCATTGCGTACAGTACTCTTTGTGGTGTCTGCCGTCGCTTGACTACCGCAAGGTAAGTGTGAATGGCAATTGCAGTGATGAACATGGACGAAGCCAAGTCACCAAGCGACACAAAGAGTCCCTGGGTATAGCAAGACGCTGTTCCGACCATGATGGCATTATTTCGAAGCCACGCCACGTTGAGAAAGAAGGCTACTCCTTGGTGCATGTCGGCGAGTAGTAGATTGATGATCAGCACGAGGAACTGATTTGGTCGTCGAGGGGCGGTAGGAACATTTCCGTCCGCCTTCTTATTGGCATCTTGATCGTTCTCTGCAAATATCCCATCAATACCCAGCGTAAAGTCGATGGCTCTTTGGATCGGTCCAGTCGTATGTTGAAAGTGCCCCGAAGGCTGCGACTTGATGAACAAGCTCCATGTCGTAAGCTTGTACACCAAGTAAAAGAACAAAGTACTCGCAGAAAAGAAGGAAATGAAAGCGAGGACAGTAACGGCAGTCAATCCGTGTCGAAGATCATCATTCAAAGGGTCCAACGTCCGCCCTTCAACAGGAAGATCACCCCACGCCATTATTATTGTCTTAAACGATAGAATCTGTCGAATCTCAGGAACGAGAAGCGAACTGCAGATGAGAAATGACAGCCCCCCACGGGTATTAAGAGCGAAAGAGACCCTGAATGGGCCAAGAATGTAAAGGATTTATCGCCCAGAGGCACAGATCCACGATGTGACATCGCTTCGCAGCTGAACGCCCGTTCTGTATTAACGCATCAAGGGGATCCTGGCATTTTTTCAGCACTAGAGTTCTCGGCCGACTCTTTTCGCGCCGAGGCTAGGCCAACCTAGTCGTCTCTCACGGATGTGGCTTTTTCCGCTGCAGATTCGTGAGAAGAAAAACGTGGAAGTCATTTGGCTATTCTACGGGCCAGTACGTAATTGAGATCCATTCTTGACATCCTCTAGGTCTTGTCAGTTGGAGCGTTATCCATCACCCTTGAGGGTAGTGGAGATTGAATGTCGTGTCTCAGGTTGATGAAGAAAAAAAAAAAGCCAAAAGAAATATGCTTAGAAAATGGGTCTTCACCGACCCAAAGATCGCCTCGCTTGCTACGGCACGATTGCCCATCAATAGTGGATGAAAATGCAACTCTCCAGTTCACTTCAAAACTCAACTCTATTTCTCTCACCTCAAACACGAGCCTCGGCACAGAATTCATCGTCCTTCTGTTCCTGACATGGCGTTGGCAAGTTAGGATCGGCGCACGCGATGTGGCGTCGAGCGAGTCAGTGTTTGGTGTCCAAACGTTCCTCGCTAGAACATTCTTGGTAAAACGCTCAGACATAGCGTCCATCCCATGTGTCTTAGCGCACCGAGCCCTGGAGTTTCGGCAGTTTTGGTCATAGCGGATGACATTTTTCACATTTCATGCGTCGAGAGGGTCTAGAACGAGTGAGGTCTTTGACTTTTGTTAGTATCGGGACTGAATCACGATTGGGAAGTGAGGCTGGGTGAGTGAATCGCGCCATATTCCACCGCTCAGGTCCGTGCTGCTGCAGAAGATGAAACAATACTAATTATATATGCATTGGACCTAAAATTGGCTGCCATTGAGTTTGAACTTAGGCCATATAAACAAAGCAAGTCTTCATTTCGATGCGTTGCATATCTGCCACCGTATTATTTAATGTTATCTACCGGGCATAACTCAGCGCTCAGCCCTACTTCACCCATGATCCATGACCGTACATTATAACTATTCAGGCCGCTGCGCGAAACAGCTTTCTAAACTGTCTTCTCGGCGAATTGTCTCTCGACTTCCTCCGGAAACTTCCCAATGCTGTCTAATCTCCATTCAAACGCCACATTTTCTTTCAGTCTCTCATAATCGCCTCCGACACCTGTGCCCTCTTTCTTTTCGCCGCCGCGAGAGATCCAAACACTTCTGAGTCCGAACCGTTTGGCCGGGACGTGATCTGCAGTCAAACTTCTCGCTACGTGTAGTAAATCCCCGCGATCCTTGTCGACGCTCAGATCGCTTCTAAGGTGATCAAACAAGTAGTCGAAGTTTGCCTTAGCGGGTTTATAACTACCGATGTCTTCGGCAGTATAGACCTTGTCAAATTCGGCGGGCTGAAGATGCTCTAGAGTTGAAGAGACGTTGACGTTATCCATGTTAGTGAGGATGATAAGCTTGTAGTGTTTCTTTAAAATTTGTAAGCCTGGAATGGTGTCGGGAAAAGGCAGCCAAGTCCCGGGTAGGGACTCAAGATGGCTCATTTCCTCTTCTGGTACAGAAACATTAAGTTCGTTGGCGAGATTCTTGAACGAACGCGCGACGATACTACCGTAGCGTAGGGTAGGCTCACTCTCTTCAAGGACTTGGGTAAGCTCATGAAAGCGCTGAATCAACAAAACAGGATTCTTTTTGTAATCGCTTTCCGAAGGAAGACGACTAATGATAGGCTGTAAGCCACGGACCATACCGGACTCTTGGTCTATCAAAGTGCCATAGCAGTCAAATGACAGGGCCTTGAAGGTAGTGAGATCAGGATAAGACATGGTGGGAATTGTTTGCTGGAGAGCCAATGACTAATGAAAAAGATGAGGTTTTGGTTAATATTTATATTCTCCTTTCTAGTAAGTAAGGAATTGCGTTTAGGGGAGACGATTAATCACTATTGATAGCTTATATATACTGGACTCAGAAGGGCGCCATTGACGAGATCACGATTTCCTTCTCACCACTGACGTCAAGGCAGGATCCTTCTGCTAAAGCGGCGAATCATAGCGAACTGTTTCAGTCGATCGAATCTTTCAACAAGGCCATTGAAAAGCATATTGTTTACCAATTTCCGATAGCAAATTGGTTCATGAGTTAGACAACCTTAGTGTAGAGTTCCAGTAATTGGGAAATAATCACAAGTAATAAAGGCCAAGCATTTGCCAGTCTAAGAAACAAAAAGAATGGCTAGAAAGGAAATAACACCAAAGAAAAGAATATTAAGAGGACCTAATCAGAGTGAGATGCTTAGCTACCAGACAGCTTGGATACCGCAGGTGCCTTGCGCACCCAATCCTGTAGGCCACTCTCAGCAGCATCAACAAGCCATCTCGCCAGCGCGCCTCGTGGGAAAGAGTACGTATAACCCTTCTGCCCAACATATCCCACAAAAGATTTCCCGTCTTGCCTATCTTTCGCCCAGCTTTCCTTATCAGAGCCCCCAGGGATAGCCGAGATACGGAATATAGTCCAATCGAGGTCCTTGGCATCGATCTCGAAAGTTTTCCCGATCGTGGTAATAGCGCGATAAGCGTTTGAAAAAACGGCGCGGACCACGAGATTTACTGTTGGTTGGAGGACAGTCCATGAATCTTGTTTCTGGGTGATGGTGAGCGTTCCCATGGCAAAGATTCGCTTAACGCCGCGTCGGCGCATCGCGGGAAAGAGGGAGTTCCTGTAGAAGTCGGGAATAGAGTTTGGGGGCGAAGTACGATCGGTTATTAGGGGCCCGAGGAGCGAGATGACGATGTTCACCTTGACCACGGCTTGGTCGAGAGCTGCCTTGTCGGACAGATCTCCTTTGATGATCTGACAAGGTTAGCTATTTTCTTCATCCACGGTTGTCATCCTGCGTGTGACTTACCTCAAGTGATGGATCGGCGATCAAGTCCTCAGGTATCTTTTGAGGGCTTCGTGCATATGCCACCACTTTGTGTTTGCGATGAAGTAGCTCACGAAGGAGACAAATGCCCGCGGGCCCGGTACCGCCGAGCACGAGGACAGTTAACGAAGGCATCTTGAATGGAAGATTGTGGTTAGAAAATGAATACTAGATAGTCCCATGAATTGACGTTTATATACGCATCTTTGCTCTACAGCCTTCCTCAAGTCCTCACATAAGCGTCCCGGCTCGGCTGCTTTTTGCATCCGTCCATGCTCCGTTTGTGTCAACAGTCGATAACCCGCCCGGGAGCCATAGAATTGTAGGCCCCAATTTAATGACCTGTAAAAAGTTTTGTAAGCAATCGAAGCAAGCTTTCAAGGGAGTTCAGCATAGGGTTGAGATGCTTGGCTTCAGCGCGAATCTATGGAGAGAACGCATCTCTTTGGAGACACCCTGCCGTTAATTGAGGTTGAGAAGATGACTCAATGCTCCCAATCATGGGGACCGCATCTTGGTACCGCGATAATACTGTTCAAGCATATTCTCGACGCCCGAGAAATGAGGCATCTTGTGTGGCGTGTACTAATTGATCTAACACAGATGTCAGCGGAGCGGGCGAACAGAATCGATTAATCAGGCGTCAACTTGCTTTCTTCTACAGAAGTGGCTACTCTTTTTCGCTTCTAAGATCATTCCCACTGATATCGTATCTAGCAGTTCACTGGAGTAAGTTTCGCGTCTCAATGACCATGACGAAATCGGGTTAAGCTAAAGCCAGCCTAAATATGAACCATGGAACCGGGTATGAGAATGAAGCTTTTCTCAATATCGCGGAGACAGTGGCTCTTGAGGTCTAGAAGAAGAAGCAAAAGGGAATGGATATTTCTCATTCATGACTCTGGCCCAAAGGATAGGCAAGATTCTTGAAAAGCTTGATCGAGGGTCTGAATGACAAAGCGATCCGAACATAAAACGGCTCTCATCAGCGAGGTGAGGGTTTCGAGGAGTTGACTGTACTACGAACTATGCTGCTAGGCGTTATCTCACCGTTGTACTGGTCGGTTGAAACTCCGAAGCAAACGAAGTTGTTAACCTCGCATCTAGCAACTTGCAGCTACTGCAAGGTTTGAGTAGTCGAAGATGCTTTTGAAAATAAAAATCGGCCAGGGGGAAACGAAGGCTTAAATAAAGACTGGCGGAAAAAAGAATCTACTAAACAGCGGCGCCCATAGCGTAGGCCATAATGATTTAATATGTTTATAGTTCGAGGTTATCAGCAGCAATGCTCACCTCAAGAGTCCGCCCTTCCTTCAGGTTGCCTTGCAGTTTTGTGTTTTGGACTCGAAATTACCTGTTAAACCATTTAAAAGTTAGCAAACAACGTTATAATAGATTGTAACAAGATCCGATGCAAAGTGTTGTGTGTCAGGCGATGTCGGTTCAATGGGTCCTCATAGACGCAGTATTCCATGCGAGTAACCTCAGTTCGGCAAAATATTATACATCATGTATATTGGAGTAGGGAAAAAAGAAGCAGGTTACATCTCACCTTTCGTCAATGGTCTTATTGACAGTGCTTGGTAGTTGATGACTGGTATTGTCAGATCTAAGCTGAGACTCCTTCCAAAGTTTATATGCTATGATATGTATGATTGCATGCCTGACTTCATTATCTTTACCGCTGATATTATCAAGATACAATAACATCTTATTGCTCACGATGAATCATTTTGCATAGTATGGGACGCAACGTCACGCCGAGACGAAAGGAGTTCGGCGAGAGAATGTTCCCTGCTCTCAATGCTGCAGAGTAGCGGCTCGGGTTTGATAAAGTGCCCGTTGGATTGATGAGGGGTCTCACTCCAATTCCGCCATCCCACAACTCGCCGTGAAAGAAATCACTCGAATTATGTTTCTGTTCTTCTTATGCAAACCCTCATTGATATTTGAAGACATGCAACAAGGTTTGGGTTCGAGCGATGCAATTTAGTCAAGAACAGCTTTCAAGCATATCCTAAATCTAAACATTTTTATATTTTATAAAAGGTATTTACGAGTCTAGAGTATCACCTTCTGAATGATATTTAGTCTACTTCCACACTCCAGCTGAACGCATGAGCGACTCTCTCGCTCGTGCTATCAAGGCAAAGGTGCCTGACAGTGAACACTGCATCAATCAAGATATATTAGATAATTCCCCCTAAATTCAGCACAGGATGCTCGGAATTAGACATCCTCGATACAAAATGATACAGAATGACTCATGATGATTCTCCCGATTTGGAAATTCTGAACTGGGGATGGCTCGCGCTGATTGGAGCACTGGAAGTTTCATCGTTAACGAGAGCGAGCGAAGGTCTAGAATATACATATATGCAGAAGACAAACAAGCGGAGCTTTCAATAATACTCTTTAAAATCATCAAGGCTGCAATGTTTGGCGCTGAGCATCTTTGCTTGGATCCCATCAACCTTCGTGTGAGGCGCGTGGCATGACCAACGTATCTGCGATCTTTCGAGCGTTAGAAATTATTCTTAAGTGCCTACTAGCACTTACTACTCCAGGATGCGCAATTTTTCCGATGATCGTTTTGCAAAGCGCGATATGCTTAGTTGAAGAGGTGTTAACATGCATCGATACCGACACTGGACGTACAAAGACATTTCGGCAATGAAAACTTAGTCAAGAACAACAGCCTTGCTCTTGGAGGCCAGTTGTTTCTCTGACCATCAATCAAAGTTACGTATAAGAAATATCAGTGACGGACTCATGCTTGCTGCTAGTGTACTGATATGGCGATGCTGACACCTCGCTCGAAGACCCGAATGCTGGGCTCCAGCTTCATCCACAAGAGTGTCGTCTTCGCCTACACTCGATTTCACATACTATCCATATCTCAAATCAGGTGCGATATATATCATCTGAATACCAAGTTATGTAAGTATACTTAATTCCCACTATCACTTGCGAAAACAGGATACGATATCCGGCAGATCAGATTGTGCTCGGCAGATGTCAACTGCCGACCGAGATGATAAAGACTTGGCTTAGCGAGCCGCCAATTTTGTATCCAGATTCGGTAGAATAAAATGCCGATCTCATTTCAGAATTAGAATCGTCATTTTTACATAGCTTGATCTCATATTAATTAGAATGTCCCTCCTGGGGATGGATGCCCCCGGGCCTAAAATTCCGGGCGTACACGTTCGAAGCCCACATTATTTTGTCCTGCCACCTCCGCAATCAATGGGTTTCCATTTTGATCCTGGCCATTCCGCCGATCGGTCCGAGAAAGAAAAACCATGAATAACGCCTTTGTAACATTGGATGCATTACAACTCTCTCCCCATCGCGGCCGATTTCTGCTCAAGATATTCGATCAGCACAAGGTGACGCGCTTTAAGTTTGGGCACCCGTTCCCGCGCTTGATCCTGAGTTGAGTCGCGGTAATAAAAGAACACAGCTACTGGGCATGAAAGCCAAGTCTGGCGATAGTTGCGCGTTCGGTGATTCGAGCAGAACCGCTATTTGGTTCCTTGTATGGTCCGACAAAGAGAGCGAATATGTTTCTTTGGTTGAGGACAGTGACTGTTGAGAGACCTCAGTCACAGAGGGAGAGGTAGGTTCATTAACGAATGGCATTTTTGCAGATTATCAGACGGTTTGTAAAATTGATCGGCGATGGTATTCCACTTTAAGTGATTTGGGCGAATGCACCGCATTTATGGTCGTTGCACCGTATTTATATCGTAGCCACGACACGGGGCGTTGGGTGAACCTCCGCCTTCTGTGGTCCAGAAGACTACCGTGTAAAATCAGTCATTGCGGGGGTGATTCCCTCCGTGTTACACTCGGACTCTTCGGCATATTAGCGCTACTGACCGCCCTACGTAATGAAATACAGGGTCCAAGAGACATCCTGTTTTAGATCGCGTAGTGTGTCTCTCTCATGTTCCTTTTCTTGCTGCTGATTTCTCTTCTCTTTCTGCTCTGATTAACCCTGTTTGATCCATAGGCAATCATCCCTGGTACTCGGTAGTCCAATAAACATGGCGCAGCGGACTTGAGCTCAGACAAGACTCTAAGCGAGACCTTGATTTACAGTGGGTTATGCAGCCCCCAGGCCAGCTGATGCTTTGGGATCGCCGTCTTGGCATCTGAAGACCTGCACGGAATCATCACCCACGCGTCGCAGTTGTTGATTTATATTAACAGTCCTTCTGTGTATGCTTCTTGTGTATGAATCTCAACATGAATCTTGAGCCCGTTCCTCAAGTGAGTATAAACACTGCACGCAATAAAATTGCATTTGCATGTGACTGATGGTTGCAACCCATAGCTTTTTGACACATGAACCCCCCAAGGCCCTTCGGGGAGGGTCTGCAACCCATAGTGAAATGCAGGGTTCAATATGCATCTCTGGCACGAGACAGTCTACACTACGTCATGCGCTTCTAGAGCGCTGATCCCGTCTGAACCATCGCTTTCTGGAAGTGGTTTTAAGGGTTTCTCTGGTCCCCACGTATGAGCTATAATATCAGTACCTGCGAATAAATACATCTGAGCTTCTTTTTTTCCCACGAAGCACTTAATCCCTGAAATTTCGTACTGGACTATGAATCACACCAAGCAACCCGAGATGGATACAGACAAGAACAGGCGCCTCTTGAATCGATATGGGATCCTACCAAAGCGAGGCAACCTTCTCAGTCACCAATTAGAGGTTCGCATGACCGGTTTTGTCCTTAACACCTGTCAAACTAACAGTTTTGGTGGAAGGGAAGAAAATATTTCGACTCAGGAGACTTTGCTCTTAACCAAGCTCATCGGTCATCTAACATTGGCAACGTCACAACAGGTCAGGAACATCCAATCCGTCAGGAAATATCAGAGCCCTCTAGTTCGGTCCCGAGTTCAAGCAACATTGATGATAACGCAACCCAACCGTCATCAACGAGACAAAGAAGCCCAGAAGTAAAATTTCATGCCCAAACTCACCTTCATCAAGAGATGGAAAGCCCTCCCGAGAGTGAACATCATAGGACAGATGAGAGAAATAACGGGTAGGTCACTGTTGATATGGTATGCGTTTAAAAAGCCTGACTCAGTGTGTTGGTTTTGAGGTCTTCCCGTGCAAATTGAAAACGGATATTGATATCTCAATGGCTGTCTATGTAGTTTTAGCTTTATCGGAGCTCTCTTCTAACGCCAATATCAAGCCTCGCTCTCTTCCAACCACTTGAACTGCATTGTGATCGTCTTAATACCATCAATAGAAGCGTAATTGGTTTAGTGGTAAAATTCTCCGTTGCCATTCGAGCAGCGTCGGGGAGCCCAGGGTTCGATTCCCTGATTACGCATTGAAGGAGTTGAAGCTCATGATATCTTTTTGCGATTGCATTCCTTCATATTTTTGTGAGTTCTGAGGATGTCCTGGCTGGGTGGTGGAAGTGGCATTGAGGCTTGAGCGAAATTCAAGAGGGAGGTCAACTTTCAAGCCTCTGCTTGGTCAGAAGGAAAGTGCGGATGGACTATTTCCATTTCTGGTCACTCGTACCATTTCTACCACTGAGCGTTGACATACAGTTAAGATGGGAGGTAATTATAGAGACTGCTGAGACCTAAGATCGAAGTACTGTACTTGTTTATTTGTTTCACCTCTTTCTATGCTCACTGTTGGGAGATGTCTACTTTGCTCCACCAAAACTCAGATTGTTTACGAGCCCAATCATCATCCGTAAACACAGCAGTCTTGCCAGCATCTCCTCCTATCAACTCCTCATTACCTTCGCCAAATCTCAACACCTTGGGACTCTTAGGATCATATGCCTCCCATTTGGGTCTCTGGGGATACTCTCCTGGGACAGCATTGGGATCATCTCTTGTGATGAAGCTGGTAACGTAATGGTTCAGTGTCTTGGCCAGGTCTTTTTGTGTTTCGGAGACAACGATGACCTTGGGATCGCAGACTTCGTAACGCATGTTATCGGCATGCTGAGCACCGTTGTTCACTGTGCTAACAGCGGCCCAGTGGTAGAGATAGACGGGCACTGATGGGGAGGCGAGCTCGGCTGTCTGGCGTGCGGGAGCGACATAAGCATAGTGCGCATATGCGGCCTCGATGCGCTTGTACTGTGACCCCATATCTTTGCGTGTCTCCTTGTACTCAGAATCCTCAAACTTGGCTGGGTCTCGGTAGAGCTCCTCGATAGTGTCCAAATCCTTCGAGGTAAGCAGCGGGAGCAACTCAGCCCAGAAATGTCGAAATTGAGAAGACTCCGACATCTGCTTGCTTACATAAAGCGAACCTTCGTTCGTGGTAAAGCCAGTCATTATGGGCACCTTATGCCACTTGCCCGACTTCCATGTCTCAAGAGGCGGTCGCGCGATGACTTCACCGTCAATGACAGGTTGGAAAGCCCAGCGAAGGGAAGGGTTGTACTTGTCAAACGTGGCTGTTTGCGCATCTGTAATGACCTTCTCAGGTTGTTGACGCAGAAAAGGGAAGATCTCATTCTCTGGGAGATCTTCGGGGACGCCGACCGCGTGGAGGAAGTCCTTGAACTGGGCTTCATGAATCGGCGCGTTGTAAGGTCTCACGGCTCGTGATGTAGGAGCTCCGGACTCAATAATGGCCTTGTGAAACAGAGGGGCGACACCCTCATTATAGTGCATGATATGATGACCGATCTGCTTGAAGTTAGTTGACTGCATCCCAGAATTGTCGTTCGAACTTACAGAATGAGCACCGGCAGACAGACCAAACAATGTGACATTACTGGGATCGCCACCGAAGGCTGCGATGTTCTCTTGCACCCACTCCATCATGAGAATCTGATCCTTTAGTCCAAGGTTAAGAACACCCTCCTTCGCACTCAGACTTGATGGCAGAAATCCCAAAGCTCCAATTCGATATTGAAACGTCACAGCGACAAAAGCCTCGGGTGCATTCGCCACCATCGATGCCGTCTTGTGCATATGCGCCGAGCCTCTATTGAACGCACCACCATGGATATACAGCGCGACTGGTAACTTGTCATATTTATCCGCTGACTTTCGAAAGATATTCGCCGTCAAGCAATCCTCGCTCTGTTCAAGCGTGGGACCTACCAACAGTCCCTTGCCAGGAGCTGCGGGGCCATATTCAGAAGCATCGATGACTTTGTCAGGTGAAGCTGGGACTTTGACAGGGAGGCGGAAACGAAGATCGCCTGTTGGGGGTAGAGCGTAGGGAACCCCCATCCAACCATCTACGGGTTGGGGTAGGCTATCATTCAGCTTGACGCCGACAAGTTTGCCCTGAGGCAAGGAGATGGTTGGAGTGTCTGGAGAAATCTGGCTACCCATTTTGACTTACTTTGGTGTTATCACAAATGAGGAATCGTGAGAATATAATGGTTAAATACAGTAAAGACTCGACACTGACGAAACTCACTGTTGGAGTAGCGCCACCAGTATGAGGGGCATCTCCTCGGCGTCCAAAAACCCCTCCGCTCTCCACGGCTCAGTTCCGACAACGGCTTCAACACCAGAATCACCGGAGATAAGTGCCATCTGCGCTCTATCTTTCCAATCTGAGAAATAAAACACGCGAATCTCCTTGTTCAGATCGGGGAACTTCCATGCCCCGTGATTTCGCCTGTTGAATATGGACCCGATCGTTGCCGGCATTAGATCTGAGGACCGAGTATCGGAGCTTGGTAGCGGCCAACTAGAACTAGGCCTAAACCCCGCAAACTTGGGTGATTTTAGTGAGGCTGTCATTGGTGAGAATGCCGTTTGCGCTATCTTGAGTCAGGAACTGCTGCTTCGCTGGGATGGGATCTGCATGATACACTGATAGGGTTAATTCGCTTGGTTGATACGAGAATCATGTACTCCAGACCATTGTCTATCGCTTGCTTGACTGAAGGGAAGGTTATATGGGTCTTTGGCTTCCCATGATCATGAATCCCAAACTGATCTCGCAGAGCAACGTACCCACCTAGCTTCTCACGTTCAGTTGGGGTGCTAGGAATCGCTGGTCTACAGGCATCCTAAGTTATTCATAGTTATCCTGCGCTTACCTAAATCTTTTCATCGCTTAGGATATAGGCCATAAACTCTTGCCTTCCCTAGCGATGTCGCCAACGACAACGGGGCCGTTGCCCGACAAGAAGCTCGCCGAAGAGGAGCAAATCGCCATGAAAAAGCTCGACTCAATTACCCCAGGCGAAGTCGTCGAGATTGACGCTACAGAAACATTCCTCCGTCAGCATAACTTCACAAATGAGTACATCGGCGAATTATTGACCGATACGGGGCTCAACAAGAAGCTCATCCGAAAGGTCGACATGATCCTCCTGCCCATGTTAATGGGCACATACATGCTTCAATACATCGATAAAAATGCTCTTTCATATGCTGCTGTGTTCGACCTGTTCACAGACACAGGAATGTCGTCGGATCAGTATTCCTGGTTTGCTTCAATCTTTTATTTCGCTTATATGGCTGCGGAGTACCCCTGGCTGTTTCTCGCACAGAAAACCCGTATGTCCAAGGTAGTCAGTGGCTGTGTAATTGCATGGGGAAGCGTTCTACTATTGACCGCTGCGGGAAATAACTTTGGTTCGTTGGCGACATGCAGATTCTTTCTTGGTGTGTTTGAGGCTCCCATCACCACTTGTTTCATGATGATCGTTTCGATGTGGTATACGCGTGAGCAGCAGCCGTTCAGAGCTGGAATCTTCTACTGCTGTAATGGCGTTGGAGCTATGGTACGTCCAGTTTCCCTCTTGCTTTGACCTTGCTAACGTTGAAAAGCTTGGTGGTATCCTTACCTATGGCATTGGCCAGATCAAGAACTTTCCCGTTTGGAAGGCTGTTTTCATGACCTGCGGAGGCATGACAGTCGTCTGGGGCTTTGTTCTATTGTTCTTCCTCCCCGACAGTATCATGTCAGCTCGCCATTTTACCCTCGACGAACGAGCCCTACTCATCGGCCGTGGTCGTCTCGCTCGAACTGGTGTTCTGAACAAGACCATCAAGTGGAACCAAATCCGCGAGGCTTTTATCGACCCTCAAGTCTGGCTTCTTGTTTTGTTCATGCTCCTCAACGAGACAATCAACGGAGGCATTGCCAACTTCGGTAAGCTCATCATCAAGGGTGTAGTCAAGGATCCTCTTGAGACAGTCGCTCTTGGTATCCCCATGGGCGCATTCCAAGTCATGTACATCCTATCAGGCACCTTCTTAGCTTCACGCATCAAGAACTGTCGAACCATCATCATGGCTGTCTACCTTATTCCCACCATGATCGGAGTCTGCCTGCTATGGAAACTTGATCGTGAGCATCACAAGATCGGTGTACTCTTCGGTTATTACATTATCGGTGCCTTTGTCTGCTCTCTGGTCCTTGCGATGCAAATGCCCGCTAGCAACCTCGGTGGCTACACCAAGCGTATCACTGCTTCAGCAATGGTCTTCATTGCCTACTGTGTTGGTAACGTCATCGGCCCCCACGCTTTCTTGGGCTCCGAGGCCCCCTTGTATCCATCCGGATGCATTACGATTCTCAGCTGCTCGGTCGCGCAGATGGTCGTCGCAATCATGCTTCGGGCACTCTTATTGAGGCGAAATGCACGACGCGATGCCGCTGCCGCGGCTGTCGGGACAAATAATGAGGATGCCTCTGAGGTTGATGGCGCTGACTTGACTGATTTCGAGGTAAGTTTCAGTTCAAACTACATTGTGACGAGGCACTAACGTTTTGTAGAACCCTCATTTTCGCTACGTGCTGTAAATTCCTAAAATCTCGACTACATAGGCAGACGAGATCTTATCATGCTTGGGACCAAGAAATCTGCCATTCAGCCCAGCAAGGCGCAGCTAGCGCACAGAGACGGATTATCAGCCACCGATGTGTCGATCAGAGCGCTCCATGAGGCCGAATGGAGTTAGCCAGACGACGCATCGGTGGGTCTTGACCTGTTTCGATGTTATGCTGATGCGCCAACATTCATGCTCACATTCCGCCAAGATTTATATATAAGCGCCTAAGATCCTATGAGGACCTCTGTATCAGTCCGAATCCATTCATTCACAATAAACATAACCTTCTTGCATAGTAAACTCAAGTCAAACTCTCGGCAATCGACAACATGAAACAATCCAACACTGTCTTTGAAGTTGACTTCAAGTGGAAGAAGATGAAGGCTTTAGTCTCAGAGAAAGACCCAGAAACAAACAACGCAACACCCAAATACATCGTCGACTATCATGCCTTCAAATGCACCTCCCTCGTCTTCCATCCCTACGACGACCCTACAGCTGTAATCGGTACCGGTACACTTCACCCCGTCACAATCCACGCAACCTACGAGCTCCACGGCCAAAAGGGCACTATCAAAGCACTAAAGCGCTTCACGACATCATACACACACCTGTCATACAATTACTCCAGCAGTCCTGACGGAACACCTGCTGCCATGACGTGGGCCAGCGCTAGCAGCTTCAAGACATGGGACTTTGTCTGCCTCGACGAGCAAGAGTCTGCAGTGGCAAAGTTTTCTGCCAACTGCTGGTCTCTCAATAACGTCGGATGTGTCGACTTTCTAGGGCCCAAGGCCAATGACCCTGCCGCAAGGGAAGAGATCTTGGTTACTGGTATGACATTGTTTTATCAGATGGTCCTTCGTGCGACCAACATCTTATCTCTTGGTGGTGCTATTTTCGCAAGGCCTGGGCTATTAGACAAGGAGGCTGCGCCCAAGAGACCAATGCAAAATGCAGATGGCAAGAGTATCAAGGAATTAGAAGCGACTTCAGGAGTGGAGCCTGGGCTTGAGAAATCATAGTTCTAGTGTTTGCATCGTATATATATTCTGCTGTATTATCCCTATATCATGGCATAGGATCACTGAGAGTTGTTTTTAAAGATTATTGAACTCCAGCATCCTCGCCTATAAATCATATCCCCAATCCACTTCAAGACATGTTGCATATGGCTCTGGCTATGGCGCATACGTGAACACTGAGGGCACTTGTATCTGCTCGTATCAAATGCAGACAAAAGCATAGCATTTGAGTCTAAAGCTTCATATAAAGTCAGGTTAAATGACAGGCAGCCTGTGGCAAATTATTTGACCACATCTTTCTTAGTCAACCATGCTTTCGTCTGAATGACCAGCGCCGACTGTGACTTCGGGGCTATCTTTCTTCTTAGGGATTGCAAATCTAGGGCAATTCCAAATCATATAATATGCCCATGCTGATAGACACTGATCAACAGGCAGCTGACTCACGCCTATTTCTGTCTATTCATCTATCTAAGCTTAGCCGGCTCGCCGTAAAGGCATATATAGTATTAAGGCTGGACCTACGTCTGGAATTCATAATAAGACACTAAATTGTCATTCCAGGTGGCGTTGTATTCTCAGCCTTGGACTGTCTTTGCAGAATTCGATGAGACTCGTAGCGTGAGTTAAAGGGGAGCAAACAGCATATTCATCCTCGGTGAGCGTGACACCGCGTAGATGCCGCCTTTGCTCAACGGAAAGCTGACGAAAGAATCTGATCGCAACCGCAGTGGCAGAAAAACGATATTTTGCGCGGACTCGATGATTTCAACCCTTAAAGCGACGCCACGTAGCATCATCCCTCAATAAGCTTCCAATCCTTGTGAGAATGGCCTTGGACGGGATATCCCAGGGATCCAAGGTTAGATCAAGGAGATCTTGCAGATCGTGGGAGGCCGTCCAGCCAGGAAATGCTTCGTTGAGGAGGCTAGCCAGTTTAGGGCCTTGATATTCTCCGAGGAATCGGAGACAGAACGTGATAGCTTCCCTTGCCATAGACGCGTTTTTACATCATACCCGTGCTGGCCTATCGCCCCAGTCCTTAATGATTTAGACGAGCGGGGACGAATTAACCGCGTTGCTGCCTGTAGTAATAGAACTCAGTCTGTAGCCATCTCCACCAAGGAAAAGCGTAACTCGAGTCACACAAAGTTGAGGAAATTCGAAGAACAAAATTAATCTTGAGAATCTCTGTCTGTAACCTATGGTAGTTGCGGGTCAACGAATCCGATGACTCATGAGGACTATGGCATATGATATTCTCGTGTGCGGGACCGTGACCAATCAATCCTGCTTCTCTTCATTCTCAAAGGCAATCCTTCTCCACGTTTTGGAATAACCTCTCTCGATACGCCAATTTTCTGACGCGTGCTTGACTGACATGGCGAAATCCTTTCTCCAGCCCCTCTCAAAGTCCCACTCTCCCATCATCTTGGCACCAAGATGCCAGGTCAAGATACCCTCTGCACGAGCTCCCTCAGGAGCATGTAACAGTGCAACAGCCACATCAATACACTCTGGACGATCGTCAACGGTGTAGAATACCGTTGCCGAGCAGCGCGAACAGAAATATCTTTGAACATCAGGCGAACTTGGATAGATTGCGAGTGTACCGTAACGAGGATCTCGGTTGGGATTATCGACTGCACTCTTCAGATCAAGCGTATTTCGTGGAAAGTCGGACCCATCGGTCTTCTCTGGAAAGTCGATTTGCTGAGGCATGACAAATGTCCAATTCATGATGTCAACACCAACTGACAAGCGACAAGAGGGGCATGGATCGAGTGTCGCGAGGTGTTTATGGGTCTTTGGCTCGATAAACGACGGAATCGCATCAGCCTCCATGGTGGAAAAGTCGACGTTGCCGGGACGGAAGACAAGGTCGACTCCTTTGCAATGACAACGGATAGGTATATCTGTGGCTGGAGGAGCATCGGATCGAGCATCTTCGCTCGCAGCTGGCCAGCCTTCGTCTAGTTCTCCACCGTCTTCAGGTTTCTTCATCCATCTGTGAGGCCTCTCCCCATCACCATTCGCATTCTTAAGCCACGGAGATACGCCCCCATCGATCGTATCACCAACAAAGATCTGCCTAGTAAAGTTGATGAAGTTATCAACGTTAACATTGTTCAAGACTCCCGTAAAAACGCCAAAGCTCTGGGGTTGATCATCGTAGTGAGAATCCCAGAACATCGGACATGAACATGAGCCGCAGAACAAGATTTCGCAATTGGAGGTGAATTTGTAGTGTTTCAGATCAGAGTTGCGAATCTCATTTGCTGAACCAGGCCAGTCTATGTTGCAGTTGTACATGGCACCGGTAGCGTTTCGGCATGAGGTGCAGTGACATATAGACGCAGGTAGAGGGAGCTTTGATCGAGGCACTTTGGTGGTGAAGGTATGCGCTTTGCAGAGGCACTGGGCCGTGAGGATGATATCCTGATCTTCAGTAGTCATGATTTTTGTATTTCGAAACACTCCAAACAGGATGGTTTGTAGGGAAAGTTAAAAAAAGCAACTGAAGAGTCCTGTGTGAAGTTGTTAACGGTAGCAGCAGGAGAGGACCGTGAATAAATTTTGTAGTACCCCGCCCCCAAGGGCGTGAATGATGACCAGAAGCGTTCTTGTTGCCCAATGACGTCGTTTCTTGTGCATCTTTGGTGTGTAGCGCAATTAATTAGATTAGACAGCCAAAAGAATTTTACTGAGGAATTCTCTTTTGCTTTGGGCCATGTGTTGTTTGCGACGCTTTATTGGCTTCTGCTGCGAAGCCCTCTCCTTATAGCCTCACGATGCTTAATGAACCGGTTTCTATGGCTGACATGATGCCCCAAGACAATGCTAACTTTTCGAACGTCGTCGCGATGGAAGCTTGTTTTCCTATAAATCCACGATCATTCGCATTCGTGCCCAGTAAAAAATCTGGTTTCACAAATATTCCACCGCCAAAATGTCCGACCTGACCAAATCTGCGTCCTTCGACTACACTGAAGTCTCTACTGCCGCACCGCCACCATACAGCCACGCTATGGCAAACCCTGGGCTATCATTTTGCCAGAGTCGTTTCGCGTCCATTACACGCCATGGACGTGATCGCATCAGGCTTACAAACCTTTCAGAGGTCGAAATTGCCGATGTTCACCAGATTATGAGGACATTTTGGCCCCGAGGTATCGATAAGGTCTATCTGCAAAAAGCCTCGCGCGAATTCAAGCTTGGAGGCTATGCATGGAGATATGATCCCAATGGCAACGAACAAGCGATGATGTTGACGCTTCGGATTCTGGAGGTTATGCACGGCCTGGGTTGTGTCATTTACTCTCCTATTGAGGTGACCAAGAGTCTCTCAACGAATGGTAAGTAGACGTGCGATGCTAGCAAATCTGGACAAGATATACTGATGAGTACAGATGCACTCATCTTTCGCAAGGCAAATCACCGCCCTCCTCCCTGCGAATGGCTAAACGTATTATTTCACGGCGGAGACAAACTCAAAATTCTCAACTTTCCGCCTTCAGATCTTGTTAACGATATCATCGCTACTTTTATGATTGACATACAACGACATGACGTTACACCAGACCGCGCCAAGATCAAGTTCAAGGGGCGTCCATGGAGACCGCGAGAATCTAATGGAGCTGAGACCCAACTGAAGCTGCTGGCGTTGCTCGAAACCTTTGAGCGCCACGGTTTCACTCTGTACACCAAGACTAGCGCGAGATTCACCAATGACAGGAGTGAGTCGGATGTCTTGGTGTTCCAGAGACGAAATGACTGGGTGGATTAGAAGTCTCTATAGGACCAACTCTGACCTAATGTACGAATTGGTTGTATTTGTTGCTGTTCGAAACTCGATCGCACGAGATGTTTCAGCATGGTCTGTAATACCTTTTCACAATTTCTTTTGCACAACAATAGATTAGTGTTACTCGTTCAACGAAACGCATTTGGTCGATATATATCATGTTTACATGAAAATCAAGCAAAGTCCCTGTTCCTCTTCACAGCCAAAAACGTCAAACTCCACAACTGTCTAACATTACTCTCCGTTCCAGAGCTCAGTCCTGGTGGAGGCGGCAATGTTCCCAGAGGAGCGAACTTGTAATCACTCTTGGAACTATAGCTCCAGCTCCAGACTTCTGACTGCAACCTCTCACTATTATCCTCAATTATATCCCACAGACGATTGTATGCACTCTTCAAAGCGGTATACACCTCGGTATCGCTGCAAAACGCAGGAACATTGTCGTCATCCTTGGATTGGGATGATGAACATCGTGCAAGCTGACGTTCGAGACCTTTGGCCATGAGGGCGAGTTGCCAGCTCCACACCACTGTGCCATGATATGCGGCGTTGGTGAAATTGGCGGTGAAGACCTCGTTGCCTGCTAGTGCTGGGTTTGCCACCACGATGCCAAGAGGAGTACTCAGGCCGGCTGGGAATGGACGAAGGATGGCGTTGGCTGTTGCGTTCAAGAAAGTCGTGAGCTGAGCGTCATTGGTTGAGTTGAGAAGAAAGAGTCGGAATGCCGTGTCAGTATGTGTGATGCGTATCTTCTCCTCATCCTTGGTTGTATTTATGGCCAGAGCGTAGTCAACGACTTTCTCAGAAGATGAGTAGTTAGCAACTGAATCTGCATGGGTTGATCCGTCGTAGAAGGTGTTTTCTTTCACGTAGTCCTTTAAATTTGATGTAGCCGTCTCAACAGTGAGATTATACTGGAACAGCGGCAAGGTATTATCCTCCCAGATCTTAGCCCTCTTCGCCGCACTAGAACCCCAGCTCCTGGTCACAGAATTATTGGGATACACTCCCTCAACCTTGGAAAGATTGGAAATAGCGTAGAGTGCCGCAGGAACGAGAGCACAGTTCACGTCGAAGGGTATCCGCCCATTGGCAAGACCATATGTGGAGTCTCGCCATTGACCGACAAGCTCACCCTTCTTGAGCTGGATCAAGTTCTCGAGTGACTGTTCTTTCTCAAACTCTTCTGTGATGTTCATGATCTTCTGTGCGTTGAGGTAGCTCAAATTGCCCCATGTCAAATTCCGGTTCTCGACATCAACGTCGCCTGCCTTTGTGCTCATCAATGCTTTGACTCGCCTTGGTGTGGAGCTGAAATATCGATCCATGAGAATTGGTAAGAAGTAGTCTGTATCAATCATGGGATATGTAAAGCCCGGGGCTGTCGAATGAATGCCGTTCTGCAAGTTAAGAAGCGTCGCGTAGTCACCGATGGTCTCTTCATGGCAGACAGATCCGTCCGTGCGATTGATCCGTTCCAACACTGCCCCGATCACTGCTTCCAAAGCTGAGCTATTCCCCGCACTTAGGACGGGCTCGAGTAAGAGCGCGGAGATCATAGTGTCGCGGCCAAAGTACGTCAAGAAACGCCAGCCGCCTGCAAGCAGCTTGTTGGTATACGAGAAGAAGGACAACGACCTGACCTCCGACTGTTCTTTCTTGGCGAGTGATCGTGACTGGTTGTTGAGAACCTGTTGGGGAGATAGCTGTTTTAGTTGGGGATAATTGAATGATGCCGAGAACTTGTAGAAGCCTGCTCCAAAGCTGACAGTGTCATTATAAATTGACATGCTGATATCCTTGTTCTGCCATGGCTCCAGCAACAGGTTCGTCGTCGTCACATTGTCCAACCATAATCTCGATATAAGGACACCACCATTCTTCACTCTCGTGGCGTTTGTGGCGTTTTGAATGACTGGATTAATGATACTCGGCCCTTCTGTGAAATCCCTTATGTTCCGGATCGAACCCAGAATGGAAACCGTGAGATTCGCCGACGAGTTGAACGACAAAACGCCCTCCACTCCAACGTAAGGATAGTCCGAACCCTTCTCTTCGCGATTGACCACACCGAGCGGCGATCCGAGAGTCGAATTGACCAGCTCAATAGCTAGAGTCCCATTCTTCTCGTCTTGCGGTTGGAAGAAAGTGCATATACCACTGTTCCCCGCAGGCCACGCAACAATGAGCCGAGGTCCGATGATTGACAAGTTACTATCCGGAAGAGGACTTGTCACAACGACTTGGGCGTCAGTATTGCAGTCAGAGTAGAAGTAGTTTTCATAAGGTGGATCGCTGAGCTGTTGGGTGATGACTGTGCACGAATCACCTAACGCCAATGTCGCGTACAAGACAGCCAGAAGGACTGCAATGAAGGGTGTCATTGTTCCGGGTAAGCAGAATAAGACTTCAATCAAAGACTCAAATGCCCAGAGATCAGCTTGGATGGCCATGTTATGCTTATAAATTACTCAGGATCGGCATACAGACTGCGGGGTTGAGCTGGGGAATCGAAGCTAGCAAAACAAGAAATGGAAGCCGTTGGCACCAATTCGAGTTACTAGGTCTTTTAAGTTTGGGGAAGCTGGGAGCGATGACGACAGCGTATGGTAATACGCGGATTGCAAACCCCAGCCGCGGTGTACTTCCTGTCAGTTCGCTGGAGACGACTGAGATGCACATTCTGCCCTCATAGTACATAGGAGAGTTGCATCATTCGGCTTGAGAAGACAACCCTGGGATCATTACTTATTTCCAACTTTGTCGAACCATACCAAGTCGCCAATAAGCGGTTCTAGATCCATGCCCATCCTGACGACCTTGCCGTCCTCGATGGTGAACTCGATCATTAAAACTTCGTCACCCGTATCAAATGCGTCTCGCACCTGTGCATCAAATATAGACTGATCTCTTCTGTGTTTGAGCCGGGCTGTGAATCCCATTGAGCGGTCTGTTGCATCGATGAACAGCCCATTGTCTTTGATCTCCACTCGCATGTTGTGATACCCAGGATTCCAATAGTCGCCGGTATAAGCTCCGAGAGCCATAGTTCTTTGTGACGCGACTTTTACCTCAGTACTATCTCTTTTCTGGTCCTTACCCTTCAGACCCTTCGTTTTTGCCATTCCAGTGGCGTGACTTTGTGACCCTGGCTTTGAGTGCATGCTTACTTCTGACAGCTTTGTAGGCACATCTCTACCAGCGACTGCGCTCAATTGCTGTCGACCCATGTCGGAGTTGACGACTGCTGCGATAAACTCACGAAACAGCTGCGCAGCTACCGAGTTGGTTCCAGAGGAATTGCCCATCACAACAGCACCAAACTTGAGATCTGGCAGAAATACAAAGCGACTACCGAAGCCTGTGATATCACCGCTATGCCCAAAGACTGCATGTTGGCCTTGCCAGTGTAGATCCATACCCGCAGTGTAGAAGATACAATCGATGCCAGCCTTTCGTTGGCGATGGTTGGCAACTCGTTGAGATCGTGGTCGAGCCAATCCTTGGTAAACATCCTCACTTATTGAGCTATTGCGATCGATAAGCGCGCTGAGAAACTTGATAAAATCGTTGGCGCTGGAGATCACCGACCCCGCGCCTTGGCCTTCTGGACAATCTACCGCGTCGAACTGGCGATATGATGCAGACTTCTTATCCCAGACATGCCCTTTTGCGAGTCGATGGCCGTGACCTCTAGCCCTGGCGCTTTTGGACTGTAGACTGCTCGATGTCATGCCAAGACGGTCGAAAATGCGCTCTTGTAGGAATGCGTCAAACTGCTGTCCGGTCTTGGTTTCTATGAGATGCGTCAAGACAGTGTACATCATGTTGCAGTAGATGTAGCGTGTCCGTGGTGGCGCAGTGACAGCGAGATTTCGCAAATTTCGCGTGATTGATCGCGCATCATCAGGCTCGGTAGCACGTATTCCCAAGTATGAATCATCGTGTCTACAACCCCGTTAGCCTAGTCTATTAAGGGCAAGTGGTTCTTACCCAGGCATGCCAGTGTGATGCCCCAAGAGATCATCTACAGTAACGGTATTGGTGTGCAAATCGTCTGACATGACAAAATCATCGGGCAGCAGTTCAGACATTAGTGAGTCATATTGAAGTCCTGGAAACTTGGCATCCTCGACTAAAAGGGCAATTGCCGCTGCAGTGAGTGATTTGGAGGAAGATGCAATGTCGAAGAGCGTATCTGCGGTGCATGGTTCTTGAGACTTGACCGAGGCGAAGCCATAGCCTGTGGACTTGACCTGGTCACCCCAGACAATAGCGATAGACAGGCCAGGAACACGATTGCTTTGCATCAGTGTCTCGACACGATGGCTGAACATTGGGGAGTCGAACAGGTCCATGTTTTATTGCTTTGCGGGGGAAGTTTACAATATTTCGCGTACGAGTAGCTGAAGCGTAAGCATTGATGGCTCGGCTCTTTTAGCGTTGCTGACTGTGCCAGGAGTGCTGAAACCAATGTAACTAAAAACCGATCTTGAAAGCCAAAATAAAAGTATAGAGAAAGAGAGAGAGAAAGCAAACTGGGATGTTAGGTATTCAGAAAAAGCTCTTGACCGCATTCTCCCCCAATTCCTGTCCAAATGCCCTCGGATCGTCAAAGAAATTGCTAATCGCTTCTACGTGATCCTGTGCGTCCTTCTGCGCGTGCTCATTCGGACCCGCCATCCACTCACGAAGGTTCTCCACTCCCCCATCCGCGATCTTGTTGCCGACAGCGTCAGCAACGATAACGGCCCCAACCCGTAAAGGTAAGGGTATGCCTAGAAGGAGGATCTTTGTCTGGATTGCCGTAGTAGCAGCTCCGACGCCCTCCTTGTATCCCTGAAATAGACTTTCCTTAGCAAGTTCGGTGATATACTGATCCAGAGTGTACGTTCCCAGTTGCCTCATGACTTCTAGCGACATGCCTGGCAGCGGAGCTTGTGCTTTCTGTTCCATTACTGCGTTGTCTTCCTTCAGGTTGTTCAATTGCTCATGCTCATTTACGATTTTGACGTCGTCTCTGAGAGCCGGAGATGGGTCTCGAGGCGGCTTGAAAAACTCTGATGGCCAGGATCGCTGATAGGGCTGAACCCCTGGGCCCATTTTCGTGATTTCGTTCATTCTCGTCACGTTCTTGAACAGTGGCACTGCGGCTATCTGCATTGCCTTGAACAAGCCCGTCGTTCCGGTGGGATCGATGTAGTTCACCGGATCATCGCCGCAGTAGCAGTACAAGTTTAGGCCATCCTTGGTTCCCATAGGATCTGGCGATATCCAGCGCCCAAGCCATGGGGCATAGTACCGTGCGTTGCAGTAGTAGAGGCCGGTCTCTTTATCTCTCTCATAACCAGCAAATCTGTACTTGCGGGATGCCTCTTGCTTGGATCGCCTAAGGGAAAAAGAATTGGACCCAAATGGGGAATGCTCCTCATAGGTTATGACAAGTCCTGACTGGTCCAACTCGAGCTTGTCAGACATGTGATATCTCACTAGAAGAGGCGATTCTGAAGATAAGGATTTGTCCTCCTCCGCAATGGCCACGAGTTTCTGCTCGGCACTATTGATCAAATGGTACCTTTTATCCTTCCAGTGGCCAGATCCATCGCCAGTCTTGCACTTGTATATGTGCAGAGTGGAAAAGAAAAATGTTTCTTTGAGCTTTCTCGCATCGCCTGAGCCAGAAGATGATCGCTCGGTCACCTTCCGTACCCTCCTCCCTTCACTGTTGTACACATACCATGTGGTCTCTGGCGTGCCACTCTTCATGATCTGCCTTGAGCAAGACTTGAGCCGATTGAAAGGATCCCAGGACATGGAATGCATCCCGCCACCGGCATTGACACTGCCAGCGAAGCCTGTGTTGGCTCCATCGCCGTAGGTCCATTTCTCTGTTTGACCACTCTTTGAAGTGCAACTGAGCCTATTTCCCAGTTCGCCTTCCTTGACCAAACTTCCTTCCTCGTAAGTATAACTCCGCATCCAAATCTGTCCTTTCGGCCCTGCGTGGTGTTTCACTCGGGTAATGTTATTAGCATCATCATACTCGTACTCTTCTGTGTATCTGCAGATGCGGCTTATGTCGCTAGGGATCCCGACAGATGACTTCCTTCGGGCATTAGTATTAGCATCTTCGCGAGCTTGGGCCGATGAGAGACGGCCAATAGTGTCATAAGTGTAACAGCATCTTGCGTCAACGACAGTGTTGTTGAAGTACGACACTGGCTGGGCGGCATCCGAGGACTGGATCACCCGATGCATAACATCATGTGAATATTGTGTGTCTTCCATGATTCTCCTATCACTTTGGCGGATGAGTCTCTTGCGAATCATTAATCTGGTCGCCGAGTCATACTGAAAGGTCGCCAGAACACCGTTCCCATACAGGATCTGCTCCGGTTGTCCATCAGTCGTGTACCTCATGTTACTCATGTAATCTCCCCAGTGGTCATCTTCCTGCCCTCTGCTTCTGTATGAGACTCGCTTGAGCTGTCCACAAATCCCATAACTATGCCTCGTGATTGCACCTTCGGCATCATGTGACTTGACCACTCTGTCCATGGCATCATAAGCCTTTCGAATTGTGTAAATCTCGGGGTCCAGCTTGGTGTTGCTCTCAGCTCTCCAGTCGATCGATCCTTTGTAGTCAGTCGTGAACTGAGTAGTTGACTCAACGCAGTTTCCTTTGAAGTCAAATGCCTTGTTCTTTTGGATCCCCGACTGATCACGGATTTCAACCACCTTTCCACGCAAGTTCAAGGACTCAGCATTTGGCACAGTCTCCCCATAGAGTCTCGATTCTGCGAGGAACTCGGTTCCACCTTGTTGCGAGAGCCAGAGGTGGGTCTTTCTGCCTGCAGCATCGTATATTGACCGTTGCTTCCAGTGACGGCCATCTACCAGAATCGCAGTGCGGTCCATGCAGTCGAGAAACGTGCAGACCATGCCCGTGTCCATCCCTCGACGCACTATGTCACGGCCTAGTAAGTCAGCGGTGACGCTTTCAGCAAGACGACCTCTACCATCTATTGTTTGAGCCAAATGTCCTGCGAGACTGTATAGACTACGTGTCTTTATCTTGGCTGTTTTACAATCTGTGACTTTTAGAGCTGGACGCTTCTGCGCATCCAGGTACGTTTCATCGGGTGTCTCACTGTAAATCTCCGAACCTTTTGCTGCCGCCCTGCGCGAAAGGTCTTGGGTCAAAGCCGCAGCGTGCCAGCTGGGGCTGTAGTTCTCTTTCGAGAGAGCGTTGGTATAGATACTGATATCTTTGTCCTCAGAAAGTTTCATCAAGACTGTATCACCTCTGTCGTATTCTGTAGTTTTCCAAGTCTCATATCTCACTTTCGAGTATGCGTGGTCAGGATACAATGTACCAACTAGTCTGCCGAGGGGATCATAGATCATGGTGGTTACTTTCGACTGGCTCTCAGAAGCATGAATGAACTCATGGGTACTGGAAAAGCGCGGCTGAAAAGTGCGGACTGGGTCTCCTTTGCTATTTCGTAAAGTCCATTCACTAATGTTCCACTCGCATCCATTCCCCCCTGTATCAGTCAAGCTGGTCGTTTGCAGCTCAGCGAGATTGCCATCCAGGTAGGTTATCGATATGGAAATATCACTAGCGCTAGCTCCATCCGCATGATGGGACATTCGACTGAAGTCGATAAAGGCACTTGGGCAGGTATCCGAATGGTTGCTTTGGGCGTCATAGTACAGGCGGCAGCTAGTGGCACCACCTATGAGTTTGAAAGCAGTCTCTTGCGTAGGACATGCAAAGAAAGCATCTTTATCAGCTTGTGAGAGTAGCTGGATTGTCTTGTTGAGATTGTCACCAACTAGCTCGTTCCCTTTCCCGGATCGGGCTGTTGCCATGACTCGACCCAATAGGTCGTGGCTGTAGGTGGTTCGATTGCTGTTTGGATCAACGACACACAATGGAGACATGTATCTATAATCCATATCCACCTGGGTGGCGTTTCCCACTGCATCAGTAGAAATCTTTGGCAGCAGGTTGTAATCGTCCATCTGAACTGTACTACGATTGCCAAAGGCATCCTGGGTGACCGTCGGTGTGTAAAAGGACCTTCTGGCCGTGGCGAGTTCATTTTTTGCGTCAGGACCAAAGAGAGTACGCGAAGAAGGCCTCCACCAAAGTGTTGTGCCGTCGTCCTCCGTCGTCCTGGTGTACCCATAAGTAGTCATAAAACTATTCAAGTTCGAACTTTCGGGTAAATAGTGCTTGAGCAGTTCTTGAAACCAACTGTCTCCTCCAGCCAGGTCAAATATACCATATATCACCGAGTAGCCCTGAAATTGCCCCAGAGGTAAGGGCTCTTCTTGAGAGAAATCCTGATTGCGGTATAATGTCCGTCTCTCTTCGACCTTGACACGAGCTTCTGAAGAATATGGAGGTAGCATCTGATCTGTGTATGGGACTTCGGGAATACTCCCTAGTATCTGGAAGCTGCCACTCGTAAACCTGGTGAAAGCCGATGGTATTTCATCACTTGAACAGTCTAGACCAACAATGCGATACTTGCGAGTCGCTGACGGCATTGGCTTTACAAAGACCCCATTACCATTGTCGAGGACAGGGAGGCAATATTCGTTCTCTGTGTAAATCAAGATGGTTTCCTTTTGGGAGGAATCCATGACCTTTCCTCTTGAGCGTCCATAGAAGATCTCCATTGACTTCAATTTATCATTGTAGCTGTTAGTCTCCAAGATGAGTTCGTGATTGTAGCGTGGCAGCGACTCTCGTGACCGATCATTGTGAGTCTTGAGTATTTCACGTGGCACGCAACGATATGTGCCCGGCTGCAGTGGACCTTTTCTAGGCGAAAGCTGGACCACTTGGTGAGCAGTATCGGTAACTTGGTAGGCATGTTCTGCAAGTTCAGTTCCATCGTCGCCAAGGATTTCTTCGCGAAGCTGCGTTCCTTTGAGAGCCCGGCAGAAGTCACGTCGATCGTCGAGGTTAACTGACTCTATGGACCAGTAAGGTCCAAATAGAGCTGCAGAAGATGCTCGCTGTAGACAGCTACTCACTGGTGTCATCGCTCCTGTATGAAACCAGGTTTTGGTGAGGGTAGCTGGTTGGCGGAATTCCGATCGAGTATTGACGTTGAAAACAACAGATTCGAGTTGTTCAACCATCCCAAAGCCTCTAAACTCTCTATCAGGAACATCGTAATAACCATCATGGTAAGTGAAGCGCTTGGTGTTCCGAAGTCCAGTAGTATCGTCCAAGATCCTGAGTTGGCTCACACACTGAACGGGAAATCCTATCTTTGTACACCATGAGGCTCCGGCTCGCTCATCTTGCAGATAATACCAGTTGGAAGACTTGTACGAGACTTCTACTCGTGATCCTCTCCCATTTCGATATGAAGCTAGGCAGTTGGGCTTCGGTGCAGGTGCAAGATCGACATAGCAGAGAGTCTGCGCTGAAGTTGACCCAGATACTTTGCCGTTCCAACATAAACATGCTGTCCCTTTACCAAATAAGTCCACCGTAGAAACGTTACTAAGCTGGTTTACTGGTGGAAAAGACTCAAGGATCTGTGGCTCACTCCAGCCGTTTCCTGCTTGGTTGAAGAAAACGTGCAGACCGCCACTGCCAGGCAGGTAGATCAGGTCGTTAGTACCCGAGCCGTTGATGTCAACAAGGCGTATTCTTTCGGCAATTGGCATATCACACCCCAGACTTGGGGCATTATACATGCAGACCGGCTCGCTGAAGTGTCCATGTGATAGATTCTGCCAGTATGTGACATAGCCTGAAGAGACTTGTACGATATCTGACCGACCGTCACCTGTCATATCAGCAAAAGTGACCTGTACTCCAGGGTCGTCAGAAATCAGCTGTGGAACACCCGTCCTGTTGTCGGATCGTCTCAATGGAGCAAATCCAGCAGTGCCCAAGTTTTCTTGCCACATAATCTCCCTGTTCACCGGATCAACTGCCACGAGATCCGCAAGTCCATCACCTGTGAGATCTAGTTGCTTGAAGGATACTGTTGTGGTGTCTCGATTTGGAATCGATGAGAAGGTAGTGTAACCGACCCATCCCTCATCATACTGGCTGTAGAAGCCTTCCAACCTGTTGACTTCGTCTAAACAGACTAGTTCAAGCTTTCCGTCTTGATTCAAGTCCTCAAAATAGGCCGATTTACCCAAATATCGATTCGGTCGGGCAAGTATGGTCATAGATGTATCGAACGTCGGGGCTGATGAATCATCTGTGATATTGTAATTCTTTCGGAAGTTCCAAGAGCCGTCGGGACATTGTTCAAGTAGACCAGGCGCTCCCTCTCCTAGCAGATCCACCCATTGCCACTCATTCCCATCTAGACCTGGTAAATTTGGCAAGTTATCGGTATCCATGTGTTCAACTTTGACGCTGGGGACATCGATTGGCATGTTATACTGAAATGTGTATGGTGGCAGCGCTTGATCTTGCATCGTCTTTGTTTCATGATTGAACCAATGCCCCTGTTCTGTAAGTGAAGATAAGAAGGAGGCCACGGATGACACTTGATACTGCATCGAAACGGAACGCACAAGACAATGCTTGTCTGAAAGTTCCTCCGGGAAGTAATGGAACATGAGAATGCGACGACACAGCCGCAGCCAGCGTACTTCAAATCCTGCTGAAGATGTTGAAAATCGGTCTTGTCTGACCAACCAGGGTGAATTTGCCTTAACATCGGGGTTGTCGATATCATGATCTCCATAGTCCAGAACCACCTGGAAGTGGTATTGCCCATCATATTTAAATGGCTTCCAATCATCAAGACCTCGATTAGGAATTGTATTGCCATATCTAATCGTCTTCAAGTACTTTGCACGCCCCGATATGTCTATCAATCGGTTCTGTTCCTGCAATCGCGCTGCAGACGACAAGGTTTCTAGACCATGCGTGTCTTCCTCCTTGTATTCGTAGGTGATTAGATTCCCGAAGGAGTCATATGAACTGCACAGAAGCCAAGAGAAGATACACGTGCGATTAGACCTATCCTTACACGAGATTCGTGTTTGGCTTGTCTGGCCATAAATGCAAGTCACATTGGAGCCTGAAATCGTCCTCCAATGGACATCAGAAGGATCTAACAATCGGCTCCATTGTTCGATCTTCAGAGGATCTCCCATGACTCGAGGTTGATAGGACTGAACGGAGAAGTCATTACCAATGCGTTCAGGGTCCCCCATACGGACCAATTCATCCTCGCCGCTCAGCAGGAAATTGTCGGTCCCATCGTACATAGGAGTACGTTTGGAAGTCATGCGTGTGATGGAACTCAAGTTCATTTGCCAGCCAATTCCGAAGCAGCCATTTCCCGAGCCCGAATTATACGACAGCTCCAGCTTCGGGCCAAATCCGCCACGTCCCTCAGTTACTGGGATTGGTATGGCCAAAGACATTGTACCGTTGACTGGATTCATCTTGAAAGTTTGGTCAATCGGCCGATGACTGCCTCCCGCGATGCCCTTTTGGAGGCTTGGGGACGAGATGACAGCCGGAAGTCTCTGTCCTGTCGGTGTGGCCTGTTGGCTTGCTCCTTGCGAGGCCTTGCCTGCCGATATGAATGCTGAAGGCGAGGACGGGCTTTCCGTGGAGCCACTGGTATTAGGTGCTACAGCATCACTTGGATCATATTTGGGTTTGCGGTTCATCTTGCTAGACACGACTGTGGTCCAAGATCTCGAATTGCTCTCTCAGAACCTCAATTCTTGCTACTTCTGTGTCGTCCGTAGAGTGCTCCAAGAGATGACACGAGAGGTTACTATGAGCGCTGTGTAACCTATAAGATCTCTCAGCATATAAGTGACAGCCGAAAGTAAGAAGATTCCTACTCACTATCTATTTTTTTCTCACTGTGTCAAAACTTTTATTTCGTAATGGCAATCGGTTTCTCAGATTCAGCCCGAGAACAATGCAGAGGCTGGAAATCCCGGTGGTCTTAGAGTACTGGTGCCGAACCTCTGTGTTGCATGGTAGGGCAAAGTAAGTAAGGTCAAGGCGGCGGCGATAAGCTATGATGGAATCAGCAAACAGCCTTTCAAAATCGGCTCAAAACACCCCAAAGAGTATTTCAGCTGGTGCAGGCGAAACTCTTGTTGCACCAAGTTTCCTTATTGAGAACTTCATCTGATTGTCTAATGCAACAGACCCTTGTTTTTATTGGCAATGTGCATAATACGACTACTCACATCCGTTCGGTCATATTCGTAGCGAGTCTGACGTGGCAAAGGTTCTAGTCAGGCTCTAGCTTTGGTCCAAATCCGCTAGTGTCTACCTCGGTTTTAGTTCCATGCGTGATACACGAACTTAGTAGCGGAGTCGGGTGAAGACTCGGATACCCGACGAACAAATCAGAGCCGGCTATGAATTTGACAAGAGAGTATCATCACCAGCCACTGAAGAGGAAGCGACTTGTATGGCGCAAGTGTACAACAAACTCCATATCGTCTATTGTCAGGCTGCAGGTTTCTCTTTTTTTATTCTAGAAGCATGTGATAGAAAGGGCCATTTTGTGTAACAAAACTTGTTGCAACCCAATCTTGCTTGAAATAGAAGCAGCATAATAAGCACCACAACAATACGGTATATTAACTACTTGATAGCTAGGATTGTTCCCTATAACGTATATAGATAGAATTGTTGGGTAGGTCCATTATGAGATTTCCAGCTGACGAATGGTGTTTCGTGGACAGGGTTGTTTACTTCAAGATCGAGGAATAATGATGGATATAGCACAGATCGGAATCTAAGAATCACAGATCAGTACGTCCTTGGGATGCTGGCCATAATCATCATACTTGACAGGGACTGTGTCGTTTGGTTTCTTGACATCAGCCCCCTCGAGGTACCAATGAAACTTCACGTCGTATTCATCGCCATGGTCAGTTTCGACATATTGTTCGTTACCTAGGAATAGTCAGGGAGGGGTCAATAGAGAGAGAACAATGTTTCCACTTGCCATTACTCATTATGTATCGCCTAGACTGACGGTTCCAGAGAACAACTATAGTGCTCTGCTCAAGGGGATACGACCATATCTCCCACTTTATATTTTCGTTTTGCTCGCGATTTTTAATATTCCTGCATCGGTTAGCCCAGGAACATGGCGAATAGACCCTGACAAGAATGTCAACTAACGCTGACTGTGCCCAAACTGCTGGGGATGAGCCACCTCCTTCCTTGATATCGGCGACTAAGAATTTGTCACCTTGCTTATATGCGATGTTACAGATGAACCTGTAAATCCATTCCTTCCTCGGCATAGTGCTACTGGTAGTCATGCTGGAGTAATGTATTGCAGTGTTAGGAACGGTGTAGGCAGAAATAGCTGGCGATGGTTAACTACTCCAATATCCCTTGTGCAGAAATTGTGTGCAAGACTGGGTTTTGATATTTTCGAAAGGGCCTTATCTCTACAATGGAGAAGATGGCCAAATCGGCCTGGTTGAGACAGCACCATGAGTCAGCTCTCTTTAACCTCACACTCCACTACGCCATGCCACTCTGGCCAAGGGAACTTGGTCGCTCACACCGAGCCCGAGATGTTGATATCAGGTACTGTCTTGTCGTATCACATTTGCTCTCCTGCATAATATTGGCACTCTGCATCTTTTTGGGGGCATGGCCTGATATGTGAAGCTGAGCTAGGTCTAATTTGGTCCCTTTCCGTACTGGGTTCAGTGGATTGGAACGCGCGTCTCGCCTGTGCATTAGCTCCTTTTGGAACGCTTACCTACAAACAGCCGTGTAGCCTCCGCTTTTCCGTCTCTATTGAGATATATGCATCAATAGTTTATGTGTCTTTTCAATACTTTGACTCAGACTCTGCCACGTATTTCACGCCATTGTATCAAGTATTTGTACAAACATGTGTGTAGGATGGCAGATGCCGGCCTGTTTAGCAAGAATCTCGTGGGCGACTAACTTGATATTGCAGGATTACACTCATGGGAGTTTTGCAGTCAGCCACAACCGTTGGGGTCACTTTTAGGAGGGGCCAAGAGGTTAGACTACGGGTAAAGTATACCACACATGAGCAATTGTTTAGCGAACCATAACATAGCCAGTTGGCTAGATTGGGGCGTGTGTCTTGCCTACTCCTAAGAGGCTCAATCCAACGTCTCAGTCACCAAATCTCATGTTGTGTATGATCATGCCTAGCCTTGAATAAATCTAGAGAGGGCTTCAAAACTGAGTTGAAAAGGGACAGTGCATGTAGAAATATCAAGATGTAGTAAACCATCACTTGCATTGCCCTGTTCTAGGATTCCAGCAATTGACAAGGCATCTGGGTCATTGACATAAAGGAACGTATGGATAATTTTCTGGATTTGAAGTCGCTTTCGACGTGTGAGCCAAGTTAAAGTCATGGCTGAATGTAGATGTCCTTGTAGCTTATCGCAGTCCCTTCTCCCCCAAACTTCAAACCTGGAACTTTTTTCCAAGATTCGGCGATTTTAATCTTGTATCGTCCCAACTCCTGGATGTCACCCTGCAGCACGAGACTGAGTTCCTGGTCCCTTGGCACTTTAAAATGGGTACCATTTAGACCGTGCACAGAAGCCTGCATCTCTCCAGCTGATCTCTCAGTCTTAATTGTGACTTCAAGAGGAGGCAAGTTGGTGGGCCACCCAGTTCCTTTACTAAGTTTGTAAACGTTGCCCTGTAGCTGAATCTCCGACAAGGACTCTCCAGAATGACGCTCACTTGGGGCAGAGTATAAATATTCACCATGTGAAAAGAGTATGTCCAGTGCCTTCTCATCGGGCGAGCGATTCCAATCAGTATCATCAAACGGGCGTGTCTTGGTAGAAGCCGATGTCAGTAAGCTGATGCGAATAAAATGGAAGCTTAAATCTTCTTTCTTGTTGTTTTGGGCACTCAATGACAGTCGAGCAATTTTTGTTGCTTGGTTATAGGACACTTTCAAATCCCAATTGAGCTTAAGCGAGTTCTCGTCTTTCGGCCCAGGAACACCCGTTGGTGTTTTTGGTTGACCTAATCGTTCATCACCCGAGTCAGGGTTTTCAGGGGAGTTGGGAAACGAGATTACCCCATCAGGCGCCGTTGACCTAGCATTGGCTGTCAGAAAAGCATACATGTTCATTTGCCGTTTGTATAAACAACAGAAAAGAGATCTCGACTAGACACTTACTTGAAATCGAAGTCTGCCACGATACCACCGAGCTTGGTGAATCTAGGGTTCTTCATCTGCAGATTCCCATACCCAGGAAGCACTAAATGCCCTCTGCTATTGAAATGATCATTGATTCGTTGAGTGAACCTAGCAATGGCTGCCCTCAGTGACGTCTCGAGATCTCGCATCAAGACAGAACTACTGCCATCGGCCCCTTTACCTGTTGCTGTCGAACTATTGATAGACTCTGACACGTCAAGGCCGCCATCGGAGACAGTGTTGAGTTCATCTGGACTACTAATGGAGCCGTCTTTTATCTTTGCAAAGTCTGTTCTGCTGATGCCCTTGACCTTGGGTATTATGGCAGCATTAGCAAGTTGTAGTTCCAGGCTGAAGGCCGACTTAGCATTGACCTCATACCTGCAAAGTCAGTTAGCCAAGGTTCACAGGTCCGCAAAGGTCTGTTTCATACTTCACACTATCCACATGTCCGGTCATGTCCTTGTTATCCGCGAAAGTACAATCGTACTTATATAAGATGGAAGCTGAGATACCCATGGCAGACCCTCCAGGAGACCACTGGACCTCGACTGCAGATTTAGTATCGATTTGATAAGAGTTATACCTATCTCGGAGAATACTGTATGGACCATCTGTGAAAAGATGTCCCTTCTCCCCTTTGTTGTCATCAAATCCCCATCGATAATTGCAGTCTGAGATCTTCGTAAACTCGATGCCACCATGACGTGAGCTATTCAATTGCCGCTCGGGGGGTGGAGAGCCGATGGTATACCGTGGTTGGAATGATATCTCAGGTGCTGCTATCTTGCGCTCGGGATTGTTTATTTTGACCACAGTGGCGCGACACAGATCCTCAAGCGTAGGGAGTAGATAGCGATTCATAACGACCCTATAATCCATAGCAAAGGTGCCTAACGAATCCGGAACCTTCAGACTATCTTCTGACACGGGAAATGCCAGATTGCATGAGTGACCCATTTTCTTTACTTGGGGGAGGGGGCGGATTATGGGATTGATAGACCTTCCTGGTATGTCCCAGCTCGTATCCACGTTTTCACAAAACATCAAGCAGTTGAAATCCCCAAACACGAGATCTCCGTAAGGCGCAGCTTGAGTCGCACGTGAGCAATCTCCGATACTCGTTATGGGCTTTGGGTGCCTATGGTCTTTGTAAGGATAGACCTGGACATGACGCAGCATAGGCTCTGCCAAAGACTTCAGTATACGTCATAGGAGAGCTTCAAAGAAGGAGCTTGACTTACTGAATGTTGCCGGAGGGACTTTGTCTAGTTTGTGACGTATCAGTAACACATAAAAGAAAAATCGAGGGACACCCACTGGCTTCCTGATGTAAAGAAAACTTGATGCCCAGGGTTGATAGACCATCATGAGCATCGGTTTTAGCCCAATCCCCAATGAGTTGCATGATACGATGGAAGTAGTCGGAGTTCTCAGGTCGGTCCTGCCATTCCTGGAGGGTGATGGTTGTTTTGGTTTTGGGGTCGAAACAAGTGCTCAAGTGCTGCACGGGCGTGTCCCATTGCGCAGCTTGGAGACAAGGGGTTTAGCTAACAGATTCTACCACGCTTCAACACAAGTGTAACATACCAGCAAAGTTGGCAAAGATGCGCTGAACGCGATAGTCGCCGACTACGAAGCCTGGGTACCTCTTGGCAACATCCTGCTTCCAATACTCCTTGCTCTTACGTGTTACCTCGTTATCTGATGGTTGAATATCTAAAGACACTTGGCCAAGGTTTACTTTGATAGTGAGAACCCATTGAGAAAGAGTGCGCGTCTGGCCGTTGCGAAAGACAACATTGGCCGACTTGATACTGCTCCGAGTTAGTCAATTTGATCAGTTGATAGAAGCAAGGATGGGAACAGACCGAAGCTGGTAGTAAGCTAGATTCACGTCATCAGTGTGCGCTATCAACATAATCGTAGGCGCCTCAAGTTCTCCAAATATTCTATCGCCCTTTTTATCCTTGGGGTGGACAATTCTAGCGACTCCTTCGGCATTCTCAAATAGGTCGCGGAAGCTCCTGTTGATCAAAGCTTGGGACAAGGCAGTGATCTGATCGTAATACTCGGCGTTGTCGTTGGCTGGGCTATCACCAGTAGACAAAGTGAACTGGAAACGGGACTGATGCGCTGCGGTAGCCATATTTGCAATCTACAATGAATTGACTTGGTTGAAAATGTCTGATGGCTAGAAAACCTGAGATCGACGAGATGATGTTCATTCGTGTAGTGCTGTGCGTATCCCCGAAGCACTCCTTATCGAGCTGATAGATAGCCACATGATGCCGAAAGCCCTTGTTGACGAAAGCAATGTACCGATACATGTCTGACAGCTATACCTGGCCACCAGCCACGAGATACAGAAGTCTAGAATTGGTATGGACAGAGCTGAACAGCCGAATCGAGACGACACATGACCTAAAATTACCCACCATGCACTATTAGCTGTCAGGCCCCGCTACAGTACAGGGGGGGCAGAATCGATAGCGCACTGCAGGTGCTCGGTCCTCGCCAGGAAATGGGTAGCCGAAGCCACTCACATGGAAGAGAACAGGGTTTGACGGCGGCAATGCCCGATACATCCTTCAACAAACTAGCCCAGCTCTTTGCGTCTTTGGATTGAGATCATAGGAAGTACGTAGCATCGTGTAATGATAGCTCATGACTTCGTAACCAACTTGGAAGACCTTTGCAGTGCATCATTATTCAACCTTATCCAAACTCCCATTGGCTTTGTTAGAAGACTGTTTCCTATTGCTTCAAACTATTCTTATCACCAACAGTTACCTGTCACCATGCCGCAAAGCACACAGCCCAAGACGCAAGCCTTAGCTTTAGTCGCTTCCATGTTCAGTGGAAATGATGAGCTAGTGATCAAAGTCCAAACTGCCATCGCAACACACGATAATGTCATTTCTGCTATTGAAGCCGTTGTTGGGCGAGGTGGTTTAAGCCTAGACCATGTCAAGTCACTTCAGTGGATGAGAGAGATATTCCATGCAACCCAAGAGGATGAGAAGCTTGCGTGCTACCTGCTACAAAAATTTCCTGGGCCGGAGAATCTCAGCATGGTTGCACTCGAATACTACCATAAAGAAGATTTACCCTCAAACGACAAAGAAAGTGTTGCACAATTCAGATCCCATCTAATGCTCAAAGAACCTCTGGCTGTTCTCTTGGCTTCTGTCAGGGCAAATGAGTTCCAGTTTAAACCAGAATGGAACAGTGCTATCAGTGTTGCGTTAGAATGGGTTGTTAAGAATAACGTATCCATCGCCTCTAATGCGTTTCGAAACATGATCAATTCCAAAGGCTTTCTTGACTCACTAAAGGAAAGCCGAAATGTCGACGTCGAGGCGGTCCTCAGCAGGATCATGACACTCCAAAGGTTGCAGTACCTGGTTACAGAACCACGACAGATCAAGCCTCTTCTGGACCACAACTTCAAATCTGCTCAAGATATTGCTTCCACGAGCAGAAAGGCGTTCGTCAAAACGATGACCGCTAAGAACCTCCTAGATCGAGAGGTTGCACTCAAGATCCACGACCATGCGGTTGTAGTAGCTTGTCGGAGTCAAGAGACCTGGGTTAATCTGCTCTCCATGATTAACGAAGACTTCATGGCCACCGAGAAAGCAATCGCAGATGTCGGGGCAGAAAAAGTCACCAGGCCAGCACTCCCGGATGAAGATCCTTCCACGACCCCTAACGCAAAGGGTACCAAGGATTTCAACATGACAAGTATCTTTGACCTCCAGAATACCCCATGCGAAGAGTGTTGCTCTGTTGTTAGCGCGTCAGCATACTTTGTTGATCTGCTCAAGTTCCTGGAAAATAGCCGCTGCAGTACTGTTGTAAAAGGAGCTGACAATGTGCTTCAAGCATTGGCCCTGAGACGTCCGGATCTACAATGTCTACAGCTCTCCTGCGCGAATAGTAAGAATATGGTCTCGTACATTACAATTGTCAATGAGATTCTGGCTTCTTATATCGCTAGTGAGGGAGGAACCGTCAGTGTTGTCGATGAGGAGGAGACCTCAGCACCCCAGGGCTGTGTAAAAGGAGAGCAGGACCGAGTAGCAGACGCGTGCGAAAACAAGATTGCCGAAGCCATGTTTCCTTTGAACCGATTTCCCTATAGGCTGGGTGAAGACTCGGTCAGAGTCTACCTTTCTTCGATGGGAATCGAGCCTGCGGATGTGTGCACAAACTTCAAGTCAACTAGCTTCATGCTGAAGCAGCTAATGAACTTCGTTCCAAGTGACTCAAAGTCACGAAGAGAGCTAGAAAAGGAAGCAGAGGCTGTATGGCACCGGTTCGATGTTGCCGAGACCTTGCATATGTTACCTCGCGATTTTGCTGCTGTTTGCAAAGAGACCATCTTCACAGACACCTTCTTAGACCTTCTTGTCGGCCTTTCTCCAGAGCACTTGGTCCAAGAGGTACTGGCACGAGATAGGTCGATACCCTCGGTCAACGAATGCTGGGGCTATGAAACTGTTGACGAGATGCTTGAAACTTCCGAGAGCAACCAATTAGGGCTGGGTTTTATACGAGATCAACTTCTCCCACGCTCAGGACTGTCACTTGAGGAGCTGCTCGAGCTCTTGAACACTACTTTCTTTGGCAGAAAACTTGTGATCGTCAATAACAGAGGCTCAAAGGTATTCGACGGGCAGCTCTCGGAAATGCGACTCCAACTCCTTGAAAACAGCGCGAGTTCCGAGGAGGGAGGTTCCTCTGGAGAGTTTCCCATCCGAAGTCTAACACAGGAGATATGCCATGAACTGCAAGGGTTTATTCGACTTAGAAATAAGCTAGGATGGACCATTGCAGAGCTTGACGTCGCTATTTCAACCGTCACTCAGAACCACGTTGCCAACAGTGCTATTACATCTGTCGAGGCGTTCCGAGGCATTACCCTAGCAGTCCTCGAAGACATCGCGCGAATCGCAAAGTTAAGCAAACTGACGCAGGCACCCGTGGTGTCTCTTCTCCCAATTTGGGCGCAAATTAGCACCCACGGCGATAAGTCCTTATACAGAAAGGCGTTCCTTGAACCAATGAGATATCTTAGTAACGATCCAGTCTTCAGGCCCGACTCCGATGGCAAATATCTGAGGGACAAGGGAGCCATTGAACTCTACATGGCGCCTCTCACAATGACTTTGAAGACAACATCGGAGGATTTGAAGATCCTCTTATCCATTGCTGAGCTGAACCTTTCCTCACCGCTTGATTTGGAAACACTGTCCAAGATGTACCGCCATGCACTGATGTGTCGACTACTTGGATTGCGACCAAAGGATTACGACATGGTTCTTTCAGTCTTCCCTGACCGAAATATCTTTATTGACCCCAAAACAACCCTGGAGAGTATTGCTCTTTGGAAAAGCTTGACCGATAACGGGTGGTCAACCAACGACATTATGATGCTTGTTGGCAAGACTGAACGCACCGGTGCTCCATTATCTGATCATGCCCTTCAGTTCACTTCGTCTATTATGGAGAAGATCAGTGCCAGTAGAGGCACATGGGACCCTCGTATCCAGAATAAAATGGTTACATCGCGAGATGTCATGGATCTTTGCGGCCAGATGTTCGATGCTGCAACTTCCAAGAGCTTGGCACAGATAGTTGAAGGTTTGTTATAGAGACTACCATGGCTGGACCAGCCTGCTAACGGGAGGTCAAACAGGTGATTTTGTGGTCACCAAGAGTATTCAATTGAAGACTTTGAGATCGTTACCCTCTTTCAATGGCCTCCCTTCGAAGTTGGCCATTGACATCAACGGAAAGGGCACCAAGGCCCAGACAGCTGTTGTAGCCCTAAAAGGAATACTGACGGGGGAGGAGAAAGAGGAAAGCATAAAAGAAATCGAGAATTGTGCAGTCCTTGCTGACACCGTCAAAGAACTTGATAGCATGTCCAAAATTCCTTTCAAGGCTCTACTATCCAGATTCTCGGATGAAGCGACCGCGAAGCAGAAGAAGGAGATGGTCGACTTGATGTGTTCTGACCTGCAATTTACTACCACGGACTCCGCAACCGTGTCCGACGAGTCAATTTGTACCAGCTCAGATAGAGAGGAATCGTCTGAAGTCGAAAGGGAGAAGATCTTACGCAAAAGGCGACTGGAATTTGTCAATCTTATGTTGCCCGTATTGCGATCGCAAAGTTTGGTCGACCTCGCTACTAGAAGTATCGTCGAGAAGCTAGATGGCGTTGATCACACCCTTATCCCTATGCTCTTAAGCAAAGAGATGGCTTCAGAAAAGAATAAGTCAGCTTCCCATATCCTAGAATCCATTCAGGGCTACTCTGTGGATAAGCCCCCAAGCACACAAGGCTACTTTCTACCGACCGCTACAGGAGAGCACACGTTCACTTTGCGGCCAACACAACCTGACACTGCCAAAGATACATACCTTAACATCAATGGTGCCAAGGTTAATATCAAGGAATCCAGTACAGAGTGGTGTTCCGATCCCATCCTTATGACAACCGGACAGACCTACCTTCTTGTGTCGTCTGTTCGGCCCATGGACATTACCTGGACCACTAAACAGACGGTGCCAGCAAGCTTCAGTGATACTACATTCATTGTACAAGAAAGCGTCCAGAAGGCTGACTTGGTATTGAAGGAGATTGGTCGATCGGCCTCGTTGTTCCGCAAGCTGGAGTTGAGCTTGGAAGAGGTCAAATACCTGACCACTCCCAACGGGCTTGTATCAGTTGATTTGAACTCACTGAGCATTGGAGATATTGCAAAGCTACAGAGCTATCGACAGCTGAGAGACAATATTGCCAAAGAGAAGGATTCTCTAGTCACTTTGTTTGCATGGCTTGAGAACCCTGACAGCTCTTCAACCTTGGCTTCCCACCTCATAGCTGCTACGACATGGCCTGAAGCACAGCTCTCTACTTTGATCAACACCAAGTATGACTATGATGGAGCCGCAACGGCGGATATCATCAGAACTGTCGCTAGCCTCGACGAATTGCTATCCATCCAAGCTATCATGGAGATCTCTGGCAACCTGAGGCCCAATTCGAGTCAAGACAGCGAGCACCCAATCACGAATCTCTTCATATTCGCAACTCCCGCACTTCCTACTACGAACAAGGATTTAGCGGTCGCGAATGAACTGCGACTCATGCTTGGTAAACGACAACTCAAGTCATGTACAGCACAGCTACGCGAAACGCAGCGGACAGTCTTTATCGATTATTTGCTGCAGCAACCATATATCAAGAATTCCAAGATCTCGGATGCGGCTGGCCTCTTTGATCTGTTGTTGATCGACGTCCAGATGGGCTCGCAGTTTGAGATCACTAGAATGAAACAGGCCATCTCGACTGTTCAACTATATGTACAGCGATGTCTCCTAGGCATGGAGATCGAAGCCGGTGTGCAGCCAAGTGACATAGACCAGGTCAAGTGGACGTGGATGCAAAAGCACAACGTTTGGACAGCTACAAGAAAGGCATTCTTGTACCCAGAGAATTGGATTGATCCAACTTTGCGTGACGACAAGACTGCTCTGTTTGGCGACTACGAAACGACCATCATGCAGAAGGATTTGAGTTGGGATACGTTCTCTCAGGCTATCCGTACATACGTGAAAGGGCTGTCTGAGATTGCAGATCTGGACATCCAAGCATATCTACGGCATCACCCCACTGGGGGTTTGGAGACGTACCATTTCTTTGGCAAAACCCGCAGCGCACCATATCGCTTCTACTACCGTAGCATGAGGCTTACACAGCCAAGTGATGTAGCGATGTGGACACCGTGGACTTTGATGGACATTGGTTCTGTCACGTACGAGGCAGATTGGAATGGTTCGAGCGTCACCAACTCCGGGGCTTACCTCATTCCCGTCATGCGTGGCAATCGTCTGACTGTCTATGTTCCAGAAATAATGGTAAAAACTCTGACTCCCGAGACCCCAATAGGAGAAAAGAAATCCCCCATGACGTTTTCAGAAGCTGCGGGTAATTCATTGAATACGACAAAGTCACCGAGTAACTGGGAGATACGAATGGCATGGACTGAGCTACTTAACGGTGAATGGACACCCAAGCGTGTTTCACAACCAGTGCTGAATGTAAAATGGGATGACACATTCAACGAAGAAAAGCTGCCCTTCATCTCACGCTTTACCTTTTGGGCCAACACGACTGGCCCGGTTGGGGAGATAGTCACTATCAACGTTGGATGCTGGCGAAACGAAAAGCTCAATGGAAAGAATGCAGAAGAAACTAAAAGAGCCAATCATTCATTCATTGGGTCCTTTCAGATGAGCGACGACCGCGCATCGGTTGCGACAGCCGCAGACCAATCCAGTTCTCAAATGAGCACCCTTGAGACAGTGTTTCACAAGTACACATGGCAGCAAAACTGGGAAACGAGAAAGACTTTCGACGACGACCAGGTCGAAACTCCTGAACAGGGAGTTGCTTTATTTGAAGGAAAAGAGGCAACTCCTCCATTACTAGCTGTTCCAGTCCCAACCTCTTCCAGAACCCTGGTGTGGACTATGTCATATGATGGAAATGACAAACTGGGCAAGGCGACAGGCTACGTCGTTGACGTACAGGTATCAGCACCGGATGGCAAGACGACCTTCATGTACCCAAAGCTTGCCTACGCCAGAAATAACAAGATCACTCTTGCATCGTCGAATCTGGTTCGGAATTCGATGACTGAAGTTATTGAGCATTCTTCATCACCAACTTTCATGCAAGATATCACGAAGACAGACAGCCTGGGACCGCTATTCGAGACGATGAACACGATGAACGAGAGAGAATATGGAAAGGCTGTCGTTGAAGCAAATGTGTCTCAATACCACGAACAGGCCACCTCATATGCCCTTTACAACTGGGAGCTTGGGGCGCACTGTATTCTTCTTGCAATGGACAGATTCTTGGCAACACAGCAATACGATCTGGCCATTCGAGTCGCAAGGTTTGTTTTCGATCCAACGGTGGATGTTCAAGGGCAAACTCGAAAGCAAGCGAAAACAGCTTGTTGGAGATTCCGTCCCTTCAGAGACATTGCATCTGATCCCACTGAGAACCAAGACAAGTTCACTGGTTGGCTAGATGAGTCTACGCTTGACGTGGCAGTGACAGAAAGAAGACGCAACCCATCCAACACGCATGCAACAGCGCGAACACGACCGCGAGCATACATGAAATGGATAGTTATGAAATATATCGAAACGCTCATCGCTGCCGGTGATGAATACTTCCGCCAGGCCAGCATTGAATCTCTCCCGATGGCGATCCAGCGATACCTTGAGGCAGCACATGTCCTCGGCCCAGAGCCGCCCAAGATCCCCAAACTTGGCAAGGCCGCCGTGAGGAATTATGATACACTGAACAAGAATGGCAGGATGAGCGTCGATCTCGAACTGGCTTTCCCTTTCCTCTGCGATGTTGAGAGACGAGGGACGAGACAATTGAAGGACGACAGGCTGGATGACGAGCAGGATAGATATGGAGTCTTGGGAATCCTTACAACGACGTATTTTTGCCTACCAGCCAATCCAAAGTACCAGACAATGCGTGCGTTGGTCAACGATCGGCTTTACAAGGCAAGGAACAACTTGGACATTAATGGTCGGCCGCTCGTGTATGCCATGAATGAGCCAAGTATCGATCCAGGTCAGATAGGCCGTGCCTTACAAGGTGGTGGAGGGGGGGTGACCTCACTTCTGAATGAGATGGATGGCCCAATGCCGAATCAACGGTTCCAATACCTCATCTCCAAAGCACTAGAGATATGCAACACCCTTCAGAGCATGGGAGAGCAATTTCTACAAGCCAAGGAAAAGAAGGACTCAGAAGCTCTTCAGATCCTGAAAGCGAAACAGGACACGGCTCGGCAGAGGCTTGCAATAAGTCTCAAACGTCTGCAGAGGGAGGAGATTGAAAGAAACATCGAGCTCCTGGAAATGAACAGATCTTCTGCTGCAGCTCAGCTGAGCTACTATCTACAGCTCATGGGCGAGCCATTGGATCGCATACCAAGCGAAACAGACAAGTGGGTGGACATTGAGCAGGCAATTGATGCACCGTTCACAGACGACCTTCGTATGAATCGACTGGAGCTCCAGGAAATGAAGGGAACAGATCTGGCCAACAAGCTGAACCTCGCTGCTTCATACATAGACATCTGGGCGTTCATGCTCAAGGCTCTACCGCAGGTGACGTCGAATGTTGAGCCAATGGGTGTTGGTGCGTCGCTCAAGATGGACGGCTCGATCCTGGCATCAGCTGTTCAAGCTTCGGCCATGACCCTCAGGACAGGCTCCCTGGCAGCCAGCACGATAGCATCCGATGCCCAGCGCACAAACGCGCTCACGAGGCAGTTACAAGAGAGGCGACTCCAAGCCAATATAAAGGGTCAGGAGATCAAATCGCTCGACAAACAGGCAGAGATCCAGAGAAAGCGACTAGAGCTCAATGAGAAGGAAACGTGCATTCAACAAGCAGAGATCGATAATGCAATTGAGATGGAGCAGTGGTATCAGTCCAAGTATACAAACGAGAAGCTTTACGGTTGGATGGAGAACACGATCCGCAATGTTCATTATGACCTATATCAGCTTGCATCGGACCTCGCACGTCGCGCTCAGAACGCGTTCCGCTTCGAGAAGGGATCATCGGTGCAAGGGTTCTTACGACCTGGTGGTTATTGGGATAGCAGTCATGATGGCCTCCTTGCAGGGCAGCAGCTGCAAGCTGACCTGCGACGCATGGAGGCCGCATATCTGGAGCGATCATCGTATGACTATGAGATAGTCAAGAACATCTCGCTCAGACAGCTCAACCCTGAAGCTTTGCTGAATCTTAGAGCAAATGGCACTGTCACCTTTGACATTCCAGAGGTGTTGTACGACTTTGACTTCCCAGGTCATTACATGCGACGCATCAAGTCAGTCTCGTTATCTGTTCCGTGCGTCGTCGGTCCCTATACTGGTCTGAATGCAACACTGCGTCTCCTTCAGCATCGTTACCGAGTTAGCTCTGTAGCAGCCTCTGGGGAGGAGTACAGTGAGGACAGTATGGGTTCGGGGCACTTCCGTACAGACATAGTACCTATCACTTCGGTCGCTATCAGCTCTGGTATTCAGGACTCCGGTGTGTTTGAGCTTAACTTCAAGGATGACCGCTTCCAGCCATTCGAAGGTGCTGGTGCAATTGGTTCGTGGTCCCTTGAGCTCCCCACGGTTGTTCGTTCTTTCGACTACTCCACCATCTCGGACGTTATTCTGCATGTCAGGTATACATCTGTGGACGGGGGACCGTTGCTCCGTAATGCAGCCAACCAAGCTGTCAAGGCTTTCCGTTCCCAGATTGAAGGCTTGGGCTCCGAAGGGCCTGGCCTTTTCGCCATGTTTGATATCAAAAACGACTTCAGTAACGCATGGTATGCCTTCCGGTCAGGCCTCGCAAGCAAATCTGTTGCGGAGTTAGACCTGTCTAGTATCAAAGGTAGATTTCCCTACTGGGCGCTGGGAAAGACTATAGTCATTACCGGCCTCAGCCTTGTAGTTTCTGGCGAGGTGACAAAAAACAAATTGGTACAGGATTCAATTTCAATTGCTGCTTTGGGAAAGGAAAAGCCCTGGGATCCAGTTCCATTAGGCAAAGCCACTATGTTGAGCTTATCTCCATTGAACACAAAGCTGGATGAGAAGGACCTGGAGTGGAAATTGAAGGTATCGAATGAACAGGGCGACTTCACGGGATTAGAAAACGTGGTACTCATTTTGCAATATGCCTTGACTTGAGCTCGCTACCCTGGAGAACAACGATTAACAAGCAGTGGGATGATTCTCTACGTCTGTGGAACTCGAGAAAACAATAAAAAACAATAATGTACGGAGTAAAGGACATCATTCAGTATTCAATTATTTGACGCAGTGGTTGCTATGCATGGCGCGTCCAAATGCCATGAAAGAAAGAATTCATCGACTTGAAGCGATGACGGTGCGCTGTCTCAGGTTCTGAGCAATGTCATTTCTATGCCCAATATTTGCCGACTGTGCCGCCGGCTGTCTGTGCCAGGGGCGTCCATCTCCAAGATTCTGGCCAGATTGCCAAATATTACAATGCCGACGACTGTGCCTCACTCCCATCGTTTCCATATCTTGATCAATTGACCTCAATCTGCCTTGACACGAGTGTGCCCCTGCAAACCAACTCCCATCAGAAACGCGATCCTCACAGCGCCCTGTCCCCACAAACTCCCCAGATTGACCCAATCCTCCCATCTCCACGCCACCGGGTTCCAGAACACGTCAGGAATCACAAGCCAGCTCGCGTACAGGTGCAGCGCATCGCAAATCAATATGCCAATCAACACAGTCCTCCAAACACGAAGATCGTTGGTAGCGCGTAGAAGAATCGCTTCGTTGTAGGCAAAGAGCGTGTATGTCGCCGCGACCTGATTGTAGATAACGCGATTGTCGGGTGCGAATTTGGCGGCCGGGGTCATTGTGTTGAGGAACATTTCGGGGGCGAACCAGATTATGAAGGAGCCGGCGAATGCGGCAAATGGCTCGAACCAGAGGAAGAGGATGCGGTACGCGAGGGGGATGTGAGTCAGCGTTGTTCTGGCCATGGTGATTGATGATGTTGGGTGTACTGTTGAGGTGAGAATGATGGGAGCTGCAAAGTTAACCAAGCTTTGAGAGGGGCCCCAAGGAAGAACAGGTTTCGCCAGTGCGTGCTTTCAAAAGCCGGAAGCTACGGATCGCGCCAGTTACAGGCCGTTGCATTGCATTGGCGCTGAAACACAACAAGCAATCTCCCCCTTCAACTACCGGGAAAGCTTTGACATTTGATACGCCTGGTGGGCCCTATAACCCAGTATCCTAATGTCATTCGTTCGGGGTCCGAGGGTTGGTGAAAGGTGGCGCGTGCCATCAAAGAAATGCCGTATCCCATACGCTTAGTGCGTGCTGAGACTCTCAGATGCGAAGGCATCTAACTGTGACAGTATTTCGCCTGGGAAAGCATGCTCAAGTGTTTACACCATTAGACATCACGTACAGCGATGCATTGAGTCAGGCCAAGTCCCTTGCAAGCCGCCATTCAATTGCATCAGCTACTTCTGAACAGAGCCCTCACCACGTTTCGCATTATCAGGAAATCGCCCCGTCTCCTCCAACTCGTACCAGAACCCCACAGTCTTGAACCTCCCATACCACTCCCTCAACTTCCCCAGCCCCTCATCCTCCAAAATAAATTCACTCCAGCTCAACTCCGTATGTCTTACCGTCGCAGCGAGCATCACGTCAGCCATGCCTGGACCTCCGTCAGCCGCAGGCGTAAGCCAGCCAGTTGCAGTAAGATTGTCAGTCGCCATATCCTGCAGCGTTTTGAAGTACCCTTCGAATTCCCGTCGGGCGCGACGTCCGACGGGGAGACTGAGCTCAGAATCGGGGATGCTCCAAAAAGCAGCCATGTATGGAGCGCAGTTGATAAGCCAGATTCGTCCGGCGTCTGTGGCGAGGGCGATGTAGCTGAGGGCGTCCTGAGTAATGGCTCTGTCGATGGGACTCGTAGCCCACATCTGACGGTACTTGTTGCCGTCAAGCGATTCTTCCAGATAGTTAATGATGCTCCATGTCTCGTGGATCCAGACTGAACTGCCACTCTCGGTGTCATCAAGACGAAGGGCGGGCACTTTGCTACCGGGTGGCAAGGGCTCTTCAGGGTCTTCCGAAACGAAGCCATCGCCAGTAAAAGTAATGGGTACTATTTTCAGATTGCTTTCGTTGGTCTTTCCCTCATACAGCTGCTCAACAGAAGAGCAGACACCCTTAGAGAGAAGGTAATAGGCAATGCGCTTTGGAAAATAGCCTTCGACCCAAAGGAGTAGTGTATGTCTGTAATGTGTAGACATGGTGCTGGCTCGTGAAAGTTGGATGAGAAATGTTGAACCTGCATAATGTTTACGGCCCTACCGCCTATATATACTAGGAACATGTTTATGTATAGAAACACCTGCTTAGGCAAATCCTTTTTAGACATTGATGAACTGAACCATAGGTGAGAGTAATTATCTCCACCTTTCTTGATTTACTTGGTGGTGGTCAGACTAGACGCGCGCTCACTGTCATCACCGTTCTCAACTCCGTCGGACAAGTAGAACGGACTCCTTAGGGTTTCACTATAAAGAGGATCATCATGAAATATTTCCAACCACTTCACACGTCAGCCACCAGCACATATAATTGGTGATGGCGGATTGGAGCAAAAGGATCAACGCTTTATTCTAGACCTGAAGCTCCTCTGAATTGTCAATCCACTCTGGCTAGTATCCATTGTTCTTCACGGCGCAGCTTAATTTCTTGATGGCAAATATGAGAGAATTCGCCCGATAAAGCGCAGTATCTTGGCAACTGTTTAGACTTGCTTCGTGGCATGAAGATAGGCAGCGACATCTGAGGAGAGGATGCCATCCGTGACCAGTTGATCCACTGACTCGACGATCCATGTCTGGCAATTCCTTTGTACAATTCTCTTCTTGGGGACTTCCTATGAATAGTGACTCCGTTAGCCAAAGATTTACCACTCTGAGCCTTGTGATAGGCATGATCAAAGGCGAAACACTTACTCCCTTAGTAGTGTCAGTTAATGTCTTGTTGGGCACCTTGACCTTGTGTAGGCTTTCCTCAAGGATGCATATAGGCATTGACTCTTGGCCTTGAAGCATCAACTCTTCGTTCACAAACTTGCCTTCAAGCCACTGGAGTGGAATTCGAGATGAAGGTGGATCGTGAGTCAGGTCATGATTCCTACGAATCTGGCGTTGGAATCCGCTGTGGACATCGCCAATAGCCTCATACACGATACCAACTGACGGATTCAAGCTAGATCGGACAAAGTATGCCCAGTGATCGTTGAATGGTGCACCATTATGCTTGATCAACTCAAGCAACAGGCCTCCAGCGGGACCGCTCTGAGAAACAACTGGCGCTTGTGGAGTTGAGCGGTTGCCAGTCGCCGGGGCACGGAAAGACGACGGCGGAGGGGGAGGCGGTAGCATCTTTTGTTCGGGGCACGGGGGTCTTGGTGAAAACCGAAGCAGGAATGGCGCATATATAAATGAATGAATGGTGATGTGCGAGATAATTACGGAAGAAGAGGAGTTGCAAAATTATGGCGGCCTCCTCTTGTCATTGGCGTGTTGGTTCAGTCCTTGAGTCGTTCGTTACTTGGATGCCTGAGACAAGTGGGTCGCCTCCATCGGCTTAGAACGGTCAGGCTGACAGGGCGGGCTTCCTAAAATGGTCCTCATTCCGGTACTACCTATAGACATTCCCATGAACATCTTATTCTTATAGCTACCTAGCGATGCTACTTCTCAGAGCTACTATTGTTGCTACTGATTACCTGTTGAAGTGGTAAATCGCGACCAAGATCGTCATGGGTAGCATCCCACTGATCCACCTCAGAATTAGGCACCCGCAAAAGGCGATGCGTGTTTGCGCCATTGTCGTCGACAGAAATCACTTGGGATCGAATGCTGTAGTTACCCCAGCGCGGGAGAACCTTCATCCAAACGTAATAGTAGATACCGCAAACGGCCATGATTCCAATTCCGACAATCATGTAGGTACACCATAGGCTGCGACATGTTGTCAGTATTTGATCTGAATCAGATCTGAAGGAAGTACTTACAAGCTAACTGTTCCGGCATAAATGCCGCCCTCTGGTGGAATCCAGGGCATGACGAGCAGAAAGGCCTGGGCCAGGAGGTACAGTATAACAAGAGCCCACCATGCCCGGAAGTCGGATCTGGGAGTACCCGATCGAGAACGGCGGCGACGGATTAGTAGAAGACCAACGCCCATGGCAGCGTGAAAAATAGCGTCTGGGTACGTCTTGAGAGAGACAACGAACTGAAAGGCGTCACCTGCTGGGGGAGCGACGATCATCAGAAAGGTGAAGCCCCATTTGAGGAGATATGGGCCGATGGGAGTGCCAAAAGGTTTAGTTGAGACCCAGAATTCCGTCCATGGAAGGACGCCTTGACGTGCAATCTCGCGAATTTGACGGGACTGACTAATAAGCACAGCGAGAAGGTTACCAAAGGAGCTCAGGAGGACACAAAAGTTTAGGGCAGATTCAGCGGATGATCCAAAGGCCGTACGAAAGAAAACGGCAGCGGCCAGCTCTTTCGACTCTAGAAAGATGTCCTTCGGGACTGCGGCAAAATAGGCGACGTTGCAGAGGAAGTATAGAGAGAAGACAATGAGCAAGGAAGCGGTGGCATTCTTTTTCAAGGTGGGGATGGGATTCTTGATTTCATTGGCCATGCTAAAAGCGTTTTGCCAACCTGAGAAGGCAAATGTGATGTTGACCATGGCTTGAGATAGACTGTAACCGCTCGACGTAGAGCCTTGAAAGCCATGGCGAAAGTTGATGCCCGGATTCTCAATCCGGCCGAAATGGCCTCCAAGGATGACAAGTCCGGAGATGGAGATGAATAGTAGCAGAAGAAGCTTCAAGGCACCAATAACGTTGATCGCTCAGAGTGAATACCTGTTATGAGCGATAACAGTAATGACGGCTAGCGTGTAAGCTGCAATAGCAACGCCCTTGAGTTCCCAGGGACCAGGATCTCGGCCAACAATACGCCAGAGGTAGTTGGATAGGACAATTGCGTTGCTGCTGCTGAAAGACAGCAGTACAGATTGGACAGCGAAGGCGACAGGGAAAAGGTGCTTGGGTCGGGGGAAGCCCTGCTCAAGCCACACAACCTCGGACCCGCTGCGGTTGGGGAAGTAACTGGTGAACTCCATGTGGACAGCGAGTCCTGCGACAGCCAAGAGGAATCCAATGACCCAGTAGACAAGGGCTAGACCGACTGAGCCCGTGAGGCGTAGGATGGTAGCTGGCGTGGAAAAGATGCCGGTGCCGACCATGTGATTGAGGTTCAGGAAGATGATAGTCAGCCAGTTGACGTGGTATCCTAACGGCGATCGTGTCTCGACAGGAGCACCGACAGCCTCTTGATATCCTGAGGCGCCATTCCCAGCTGTTTGACGTACGTAGGCAAGATCGCCATCACGAATGATAGAAGCCTGCGAGTCCGACTGTGGGTGCTCTGGAACAGCCAGGCTAGTAGCCTGCGACTTTGGACTAAAAGACAGTCCCATGCTGGATTATCAAGACGTAGATACATGTAATGTAAGAAAAGCAATTGGGCTGAACGCGGAACGAGAACATTTTATCGTTCAGATTCGCCCTGGTCGCCAAGAGCTCGTTCGTTGGGTCTCCAGGATCATCGTTGCATAGCATCACGGCTAGGGTTGGAAGTGAAAACCTTTAACTAAGAGAGTTTCTAAATTAGTCAGTTTATCCTCGTTAAGGTTAAGTTTAAAGTTGCATCATGGATATTCTGTGTTGACGTTCAAGGGGCACATGTAAACGTGCTTAAGTCACAGAGTTGCGCCATCTGTGATATAGTAACTGACTGAGCTGTTCTTAAGTCACGGAACCTCAATTGACTTCCGCGGATGTATCTGAGCAACATTGCAGGCTTCGTCTATTGATGAGTTTGTGTTAACTCCCGCGGGAAGAGTTTTTCCAATGAGTGGCGGTCTAGTATATGGCGTGCTTGCAACCTGGTATAGTCGTGATGCAGTTTGAGGGGTAAACCTATAGGACGGATGTCGTGTCGTCTTTTGATAAATGTAAATCATGGCAGCCGTTACTATCACTTGATCAAGTAACCGATTGTTTTATGTAAACGAGTGATATAGTTACTTTGTGTACGGAGTACTCCGAATTTAATTCCTTTTTCGGGAATTTGTTGATGATGCCGCACCATTGTCCTACTGAATGGCGTGACTACAGCTCCCTCGATTTGTTCGGCGCCTCGCCGATCTGCTACCGGGAATACACCTAAATCTTATAAAACTAGTTATACTATCATCTCGTAAACAGTCTATAACCAAGCAAGGAGATCATTTTACTCACCCTTGAAACCAAACCTCATTCAGGCGCTATCACCCAAGCTACCATGGCCGCCACAGATACTATTTCTGCTCTCCCCCCTGCGTCCGCCCCAACTTTTGGTATTACGCCTGCTGCTTTACCCCCACCTGGTCAACCGGATATCTCCTACCACCCAGATTGGGAAAAATACCAAGCGCGCGTATCTCGAAGGACCCAGACAGAGGATCTCACTAAATCTCTTCCCGAGGGATTCCCCAAGGAGCTCAAGGGAGACCTCGTTTGGGACGGAGAGACACTTGCCCAGAAGTATGACTGGACGTACGTTCTTTCGGCTGCTCAACTAGAGGAAATTGACAAGGCTCTTGCACACTTTAAATGTCGGTGCTCTTACGTATCTGAACTGGTGTACTATGACTGACAGGATGTCGAGAAATAGCCCTCAACATTTCCAAGGGCTATATCACACAAGAGACTTTCCCCCTCCCCACACTACATGGCGAGCTGCGTCGTCTATCTCGCGAACTACACTTCGGCCATGGCTTCTTTGTCATTAGAGGCTTAGACGTTGATCGCTACTCTCGTGAAGAGAACATCATCATATACGCCGGAGTCTCCTCCCATATAGGCTCCATACGGGGCCGCCAGGATGCTTACTTCCAGGGCGAGCGCGCTGATGTCGTTATTGGACATATCAAGGACGTTCGCTCTGGTCTCGGCGAGTCTAGGGACAAGACCAAGATCAAGATTGGAACACCTGCCTACACTGCTGACAAACAGGTCTTCCATACCGACTCTGGAGATATAGTTTCTCTTTTTGCCCTATCCACGGCCGCTGAGGGGGGTGCAAGTCGCTTAGCTAGCACATGGCGTGTGTATAATCACATTGCTGCCACGCGGCCAGATCTCATTCACACTCTGAGCGAACGCTGGGACGCAGAACTGTACGTCAGATGTCCCGATGCACCAATCCACGAGGAGCCACCCCGTTACTAATTGACTTCGACTGCACAGCTTCACAAAGACGGTCAACGATACCGACAAGTTCATGAGCCGGCCGTTGATCCATCATCTGCCTGCCAGCCCCGATGGGAAGACCCCAGATAGAATCCTTCTTCAGTATGGACGGCGCTACTATGTCGGCTTTGGAGAGATACCTCGTGGCAAACATCTACCACCTATCACCGAGGCCCAGGCCGAAGCTCTCGATACCCTGCACTTTCTGGGTGAGAGATTCAGTGTATCTACTAATTTTGAGAAGGGCGACATGCAGTATGTAAACAATGTGGCCATTTTCCATGCCCGTGACGGTTTCACCGATACCAAGGATAAGCAGTGAGTGGCATTCCCCTGTCTTGTAAGTTGCGGCATTGAGATCAGAAACTGATGGAAACACCACGTGCAGGAGACATCTGCTCCGAATATGGCTTCGTGATCCTGAGTATGCATGGGAGACGCCTGCGGCACTTGCCTCGAGATGGGAGCGAGTGTACGGTGGCGTGACGCCTGAGTTGCAGACATTTCCTCTTGAGCCTCATACCCGGAGTGAAAGCACAACAGCGGCGAAATCAACGTCTTAGTTCCAGGCGCAGAGGGCCGAGGCATGTCCCGACAAATTGCGAACAACTGTTATATAAAGGTGAGAGGTTCAATAGGTCTGGCGCATCTTCAGTCGGATGATTGCTTAGCTTGTAATCTACTGTGAGATCAAACTGGAGTTACCGAAATTTGGGCAAGACAAAGTGAGGCTTATCTTCATATCACGATAGTATCATGGTAGTTGGCAAACCATTTGAAAAACCATTCATATCCCCGCCGTGTCTCCAGTGGCTGTGCCTTATCCGCCAAAATGGACAAAGGGGGCCCAGACAAGTCTCTCCATCTTTTCGTCACTCTCGTCACAAGAAAGAATGTCTCTTGACCATGTCCCTTCTGTCTCGCCGCCGACCAACCGATCCAGGCTTTGCTCTGGTGCACTTAACCACTCGTCTCGGAGCTGCCTTGTAGCTTTGTGCAGACCCGAACAAACTGATCTGTCTAAGAACCCTTCATCTCTTATCGACTCGTACACAGTCTGTGATACTTCAACACATGACTTATCGTTGACTTCCCAGAGTGTACCAACCACATGCCGAAAACCCGCTAGCTGACATGCGCTGATCAGGTGGATGCTCTCATCGAAGAAAGCATCTCCTCCAACCTGACCTGTCCCACAAGCGGAAAGATAGGCCAAGAACGGAGCATGTTTCCGAAGGTTGATATCCATAAGTTCAGATACTGTCAGTATGCCATCGGTCATAAGCAGCCCGCTTTGAGAAGGGTTGCCATCCGTCTTTCCATGACCAGCGAAATGGAAGACTTTGCAATTTTGAAGCTCTTCCAAGACAGCCTGCTTGTGCTGCTCCGGAACGCGAGACTCAAGGTTTATTGACTTGCAGATTTTGACGATAGCTGAGACCTCTTCTTTGACAAATGGAAGCTTTATCTGGGCAGTAGTGTCTTCCATCGCTACTAAGACAGCTTTATCTTGGACTGAATCTGAACGAAGTTTTCGGCCGTTGATAAGGGCTTGGATGGATGAGCTGTACGATGAGATCACCCTATCCAGTACTGTCTGGGTTGACCCTAGATAATGATATCCAAAGGCGTGGAATGGGAGCCTACTCAGTCTGCCAGTTGGAATCCACCAGATGTGAGGCCAGTCATCACCTGGTGGAGGGCCTTGAATACCAAGTGCCTGGAGAATAGGGTTGGCGGCTACATCCCAAAGCCATTCCAGCATGGAAGGGCTAGTTAACGAATTCTGACTCTCTTTCTCGTTCATCTTGTCATTGTTCAGATTGGGCAGGGATAATGATGTAATTTGGTGTGTTTCGATAAGAATTGCGTCACACCGAAATTTGCTAAGGTTGACAACCACGATAGGTCCTAAACTGGCCGCCGCTCGGACGCCATCTTCGTTTGACGATTCCAGAAAGTCACTGAACCCTGGGTGTTTCCGAATCTCGAGAATTAGACTGTCCAATTCGACACTTGCCTCGCCCCGGCGGTTTGCGATAGCTTGAGCTGAGACCGAATCGCCACCTTGAATGGGCCTATCGAGAATCTGGCTGAGTTCCAGAAATCGTCCTGCGAGATCAGGATGAATCTCTTGTAGGTCAAGAACATCCACACGAATCTGTTCAATTGCTGCAGCAAGTACTCCACGGCCTTTCTCCAGTACGCTTAGAGCAAGAAAGGGTTTTTCGCCAGCGTGAAGCTTCACGGCTGCGGCATCGCAAGCGAGGTCTACTATTCGACCGAGCATACGTTGCTTATCGGCGAAGCCAAGCGACCTCGGTGTCAGTTGCGGCAATAGGTCGAAGGTTGTTTGGGATGCATCAAGAGCATGCTGCCATTGAGAGGCATGTGCATATGTCTCAAAGAGAAACTTTCCAGCTGCAATTCTTGTTTGGATGTTGGAGTTAGCGTGGTTTAGAGCAGACCGATAGAGATTCACGGCAGCGTCAAAGTCGTCCATGCAATTCGTCAAAGTATGGCGATTCCAATAACAGTCTGCAAGATTGCTCATGTACTGAGCAAGACTTGGGTTTCCTGGTTGAGCGACAGTAATGGATTGGTGCCCCATCTTGATAGCTTCTTCAACATCTTTCGCTTCTCGATTTCGTATATACCGTTTCGCAAGCCAGATGGAGAGGTTACTCGAAAGATTAGGAATGTCTGCATGGCCTTGCGGCAGGGTGTTCAATGCCTCTTGTGCGAGTTGAATTGCTTCATCAAGATCATTTGTGTCGCCTGTCCTGAGGTAGCGATCTCCAAGGTGACCAGCAAGATTGGACTTAAAGAGAGCTTGGTCGGGCGATACCTCTACACCAGCTTTGGCGATCCCACGACAGATATCAATAACTTTGTCGAGCTCTGCAAGAATTCCTGTTCTTCCATATCGTTCGTGTAGCTGGTTTGCTAGAGTATTAAGTCTCCCTGGTCTCTTGGGGCTATCGAGCGGAGTCAAGTCTACGGCTGACTGAGCCACTTCTATCGCCTCTTCAAGATCTATAGAAGACCCTGTTCGCTCATAGCGCTCTCCAAGGTGATTTGCCAAGTGCGTAAGCCGAAAGGCTCTATCATCCGAGTCTACTGCCACATCGATCGCTTCTCGTGTGACTTGGATAGCTCGTTCGAGATCAGCTAGTGATCCAGTTTGGGTAAATCGGATTGCCAAGTGAATACCGAGGCTATCCAGGAGAGCGCCTCGGTGAATGTAATCATTTGGAGCGGTATCGATTGCTTCTTGGCCCAGCTTGATCGAATCCTCCAGATCAGCAAGTACCCCAGTAACGGTG